TCAGGCCCAGGCAAAATAAATCTGTGATCTTAATGGGGTTTGCCTGGTTAAATAAAGGTTAATCATAAATAATAATGCTGATGTCCTGGCTGATAAAGCGCAAACTATTGATAAGTATTTGTCAGAACAACATTTCAAAAATGACCAGACTGACTCTTTAGAACTTCGAAACACAAGACGAAGGATGTTATTTGCTGAAGACTTCAAGTCTGCAAGCATTAACGACTAACTAGTCAATGTGCATTGTGCATGCACAGCCAATTAAAGTTTAAACACAATGTCTTTTTGTGATAAAAAGGCACTTTTATATTTTCAACACGCAGGAAGCAGGAGTAGTTGCCTGAATGATTTAGTGATATTTAAAGCGGATGCCGCATGATTTTTACAGCCTTTTCTCAGCAGTGAGGCATATTCTGTGATGACCTCAACGTAATCAGTGCAGGTGAGTCCGGGGAGCTGCAGCCGGCACCGAGGTGGCAACTGAGGCACTCCCAGGACTCTGCGTTAATTGCCTGTGAACAAGACAAACATGAAGGACGGACAGCACTTGTGCCACGCCGCCATCTGTTCCACGGACTCTGCAGAGGTGACTTGCTGTGTGTGTCTGTGTCAGGGCACTGAGGGAGGGGTGTGTGGAAGCTGTGTGGTCTCTGACTGGTACAATGGAAGTGCCTGAATTTGTTGCTGGGGGGAGGGGTGTGTATTAAACAGAGGGAACTCTGGGGGGAAAAAAGGACCATTTGGTAAACCAAGAGCAGAGGAAGCCCCACTTCCACAGACAACATGTGTTCCTATTAATTTGCCATAAGGATGCTCTTTGGCAGCCTCAAGTGTCCATGTGTCTCCTCAGAGGGAGTAGACTATGGGGTAAAATAAAGGTTGGTTAGCTTGCGGTGAGGGAGGGGTGTAGAGCAGGGCTATTCAACTGGCGGTCCAAGGACCTAATCAGGCCCTCGGATGAACTCAGTTCGGCTAACTAATGGGTTAATTTTTAAATAAAACTAGATTTTAAATCATAAAACAAACATATTTAATCACATTAACGGCTGGATGTCTGGCCCCTTGAGCTCTTGGCTTTCAGTAACTGTGGCCCCCTGAGCAGTTGAATAGTCCTGCTATAAAGCAGGGGGTGTCCAAACATTTTGGGACCAAACTGTCTGGATGAAAGGACTCACGGGCCAAAAAATATCTGAATTTAAGAAAAAATAATAATAATAAGAATTAGAAAGCGTGATTCCCCCCACCCCCTCTTATTTTTAACAACTTTAATATTTTTGGATAAAAGTTAAAAGTTTAATTTAAATTATTGTAGATCCAGAACATCAAGAGCCTCATAAAAATAACCTTTTTTAAAATTTATATTTATTTAAAGATTTTCATTTAATAGATTTTTTTTTGGGGTCTATTTATTTTCTTGTGCTTGGAAAGTTCATTTTGGTTTATTTTCGAAGACAAAAGCCTAAAATGAGTAACTGCTCTTTAAAAAAAGGGTGTGGAGCTTCAATCCCCCCATTTGGACCATGGACGTCCCAAACGGGTCATCGAAGTTCTGGAAAACAGCTGGCAGTCGCTAAAACAGATTCATAAAAGGTTTGAAGGGACACTGCTAAAGTTGAACAACTTGTATGCCGATGATACCACTGTATATTCTTTTTAAAATGCCAAATTTCTATCGATAATCAACTCAACTGAAATTATTTTCATTGAAAACACGTTATACCAAGTTGTATGAATTATTATCCAGAATTCTACTTTTTAGTAGGTCAGTGAAGGTTTGTTGTAGGATAAAGGAATATTTTTCCGCTATACACGTCTACGTATACGTATACGTATTTTCCACTGTACACGTCGCACCGCCCTATAAGTCGCATCAGTCCAAAAATGTCTAATAAAGTGGAAAAATCCATAAATACATTGCTTCGCCGTATAAGTTGCATCTATTATGCATCATCGCTGACAACCCAGAAATGTGGGCCGATGTTGTGCCAAAAATTGATTGGCTGCCAAATGGCGGCCATGTGAGCATGCATGGGAGGACTTTAACAAGAATTTAACAAGATTAACACTTAAAAACAAATATTTGTTTGTTTGACATTATAGCAAAGGTGTGTCTCAGTTGAACTTTTACTTAATAAATGTACTTCAATGGTCAAATCAGCTTAATTTTGCCTGGGCGGCAAAGTGAAATGAAGCTGATTTGACAGTTTCTCCAGGTGAGCTGGACAAAAGTGGCAGGCTATGGCAAGCCAATTGTGTTATCAATAGCCACTGTTACCTATTACATGTCATAACAGCATGCCATACTACTCGAGTGCCATCTAGCGGCTGAAAACGGTAGTGTTCAATATTTTCTGTTAATGAATGAAAACAGTCATATCTCAGCCAAAAATTCATTTATAAATATAGAAAACAAATATGTCGCTTCAGCGTATAAGTTGCAGGGCATGCAAATTATGCAAAAAACTGCAACTTATAGGCTGAAAAATACAATAATTATATCAAAATATTTGTATTGTACTTAATATCGCTCATTTTGAGATGATTAAAATAATCTTTTTTGCAGTTAAACCTAAAAATTATATTCAAAAAGTTTCACCATTAAATCTAAAGAAGGTCTACATCTGCATCAGCCTCTTAAGCCTGTGGGTCAAAACTATAACATTTTTTTAAATTTGTTGAGGGCCTCACAAAATCACTCCAAGGGCCGCAAATGGCCCTTGGGCCGCACTTTGGACACTCCTGCATCAGAAAACATGTTTGTTTAGTTTTTTTGTATGCAAGTACACAAAACAACCCAAATTACAACATAAGATTAGAAATCTTGCAGTTATCCCAACTTTTAATTCAACTGCTGCTTTTGTTTTTACATTTAAAAACACCAACCAAAGCCTCCACCTTTCAATTCATTTGCACAAATCTAATTATCAAAGTTCACAGCAGCACCTCCACCTCTCACATATTTGCAGCAAAATCCGCACACTTACCGTTACACCATTGGAATGGTTGCATGAAATTTGACTCTCCAAGGCAGCAGCAGTGAATTCAGGCCCTGTCAGGAGAAATGCTGCAGACACGCCAGCCCTGGTCTGGTTCTGCTGTAGCTCGGATTCAGCTGTCCTGAGCTGGGTCGCTCCTTCCTTCAGTTTATGTCAGAGCTCCAGCAGAAAAACAGTCATCTAAAGATCTTCAGATCCCAGAAATCCTCAGGAGGTGTGGGATTTCTTTTTGCTTTTAGTTGGCTCAGCAGTCTGTGTTGCCCAGCATTCCCAAATCTGGATTAGCCACTCTGTGTGTTAAAGATGTAAGGGTGGAGGGGGGGAGGTTTGGGACTGGGTTCTGGTCCTGGACTGGAGATTTCATGTGCTTCTAAAAATGATGACGAGAAACAAAGGAATGTTGTTGAGAAGGACTGCTAGGTATTTGTCAGAGGCCTCATCCAGCGAGTGAGGACTTGTTGTGAAAATCTGCAGCTCGCTCGATCATAAACAAGACGGACAGGAAATACTCACATTTCCATCAGAGAAGAACGAGGGCCTCCTTCACTTCACTTTGCAGCGTCCTCTCCTCTACGACTCCAATGACATCCAGAGTTTAAAACGACGATCCTCACCCCAAACGAAGGCAATAATCCAACATTAATCTGTGCTTTTTGTCTTCTGCTAAAGCTGCTTTTTTTAAACAAGGGATTTTCACAAATCTCACCCCCCTCTCGTCTCCTCTGGTGCCTCCTCCTCCTCCACTCCTCTGATCTTGCAGTAGATATTCCTCCTCAGTGATGAAGATGATCTTCCCTCAAAACCCAAACAAAGTGAGTGCAGCTCCATGCAGTCAACAACAGTCCTCAGGCTGTTTGTGTGTCAGGCAGTGTGTGCGTTTGAGTGTGTGGAGGAGAAGGAGGGGGATCCTACTCCCCCTCGAACCATCTGCTGCTTCGATTGAGAAAAAAGAACAGAATCAGAGACAAAGGAGGGCAGAGTGTGTGCAGGAGCGTGTTCAGGCGCTCACACCTGCAGCTGGCTGTGTCATGGCAGACTTCTCTTTCCCTTTCACTTCATAATGGAGCTCAGACTGCAGCTCTCCTTCCTCTCCTCTCTGCCTTGGGTTTGTAAACAGATCTCTGCTCATGTGACCAGCCGTTTTGCCTCGCAACTCTCCTCTGCCTCAGCCCTCCCTCGCCACCTCCGTCCTCCAATCTGCAGGCAGCGGGAAGGTAGAATGAGGCAGGCTCTGACGAATGGGGCCCCTGCAAAGATGTGACTGTGTGAGCGACGTGCATGCATGTGTGTGTGAGCGTGAGAGAGAGAGAAAGAGGGTGAGATAAGACGAGAAGAGAGACACTTGCAGCAAAGTCAAGGGAGCTTGGCAATATGCGCATGGCTGATGTCCTGACAACCAAAACAAAGCAGTCTGTGTGAAATGGAGGTCAGGAGGGGAAGAAATGATTCCTCTCTGTTTGCACCATTTCTCTCTCTCGCACGCACGCACGCACGCACGCACGCACGCACGCACGCACACACACACACACACACACACACAGGTCGGATTGTTTGACCTGCAGCACATTTGACGCACAAACCCTGCAGCAGCTCATTGTTTTGCAGCCAGATGACATAACATGATCATGACAGGATTGAATTAAGGCCTAGCATTCCTTGGACAAATGCATATCACCCACCACTGAAGCCACAGACGTGACTCTCAGCTACTACCACTTAAAGTACGGGTGTCCAAAGTACGGCCTGTGGGCCATTTGCGGCCATTGGAGTGATTTTGTGCGGCCTACAGCTGCAGTTTAAGAATGGTATAATTTTGGCCAGCCAGATTAAGAGGTTGATGCAGACTTTCTGCTAATTAGTTGGTAATCCTTTTTTATATAATATTTAGGTTTAACAGCAAAACAATCTTCTCAAAATGAGCAATATTAGGTAACATACAAACCCTTGTTGATAATCTTTATTTTCACTTCATGGTGCAAAGCACCAAAAACCTTAAATAACGATTCATAAAACTTGGCTAAAAATTGCTGTTGATAAAATAATCAAAAGGGAACTTGGACATTTTTAGAAGAGTATAACGTGGTATCATCTACATACGAGTTGATCAACTTTATCAAACTTTATGAATCTGTTGTAGCGACTGACAGCTGGATGATTTTTCAGCATTTTGATCAGCTTTTTGAGCCGTCCATGGTCCAAAAGGCAGATCGACCCCCTTTTAAAAGGACACTTACCGTACTTGCCGCTGTACACTTTGCACCGCCGTATAATTCACATCAGTCCAAACATGTCTAATAAAGTGGAAAAAAAAACCCAAATACGTCAATTCGCCATATAAATTGCATTTGTTATGCTTCACCGCGGGCAGCACGGTGGCGCAACTGGTAGAGCTGCTCAGCGAGAAGGTCCTTGGTTCAAACCCCGGTCCAGGGGCCTTTCTGGGTGGAGTTTGCATGTTCTCTCCGTGCATGCGTGGGTTTTCTCCGGGTGCTCCGGTTTCCTCCCACAGACCAAAAACATGCATGTTAGGCTGATTGGTAACTCTAAATTGTCCCTAGGTGTGAGTGAGAGAGTGAATGGTTGTTTGTCTCGTTTGTCTCTGTGTGGCCCTGTGATGGACTTGCGACCCGTCCAGGGTGTACCCCGCCCCTCGCACAGTGACTGCTGGACATGGGCACCAGTGACCCCCGTGACCCAAAATGGAATAAACGGGTAAAGATAATGGATGGATGGATGGATGCTTCACCACTGACAACCGGGAAATGTGGGCCGATGTGCCAAAAATCGATTGGCTGCCAAATGGCAGTGGTGGGAACATGCACGAGAGGACTTTAACAAGATTAACACTTAAAACAATTATTTGCTTGCTTGAAATTATAGCAAACGTGCGTCTCAGCTTAACTTTTCCTTAATAAATGCACTTTGACAGTCAAATCAGCTGCATTTCAAAAGCTGATTCGCAGAAGCAGTAGCGCGCAGAGCTGTGCATTTCTTCGAAATTCAACAAGATAACCACCTAAAAACAAGTATTTGTTAGCTCAACATTATAGTAAAGGTGTGTCTCAGTTGAACTTTTCCTGCTTTACTGGTCAAAGCAGCTGTGATTCACCTGGGCGGCGCAGCGAAATGAAGCTGATTTGACGTTTACTCCAAGAGTTCCGGAGCGAGATGAAGGTGGCTTCTATGGCAAGCCAAGTGTCTCATTAATATGAACTTTTACCTATTAATGAGACACTTGGCTTGTCATATTAGTCGAGGGTCCTCTAGTGGCTGAAAATGGTAGTGTTCAATATTTTCCATGTCAGAATGAATGAAATCGTCAGATCTCAGCTAAAAATTTGGTTATAAATATGCAGAAAAAGAAACATCAATACGTCGCTTCGATTCATAAGTTGCAGGGCATGCTAATAAATGCAAATATCTGTGACTTATATGCCGGAAAATACGGTACTCAAATTATGCTTTTGTTGCTAAGAAGACTAAAATTAACTTTCCAAACAAGAAAACAACAAACATAGACCCAACAAATCAAATAAATCAAATGCTTAAAAAAATAAAAAAATAAAATAGTGTTTATGTACGAGTCTTTTAATGTTTTGGATCTACGATAATTTAAAACTCTTTCTTCACCAAAATGACTCAACTTTTGTCCTTTCTCAAAAATATTGTTCATGTTGAGAGTTAAATTCACATTTTTGTGGTCCGTGGATCCTTTCAACTTGATAGTTTTAGACCATTTGAAGAAGGTTGGACACCCCTGACTTAAACATTCCTGCAATATCTGTAATCATGAGTGAAGTGAAGCCATTGTTTGGGTTGATAAAGGTAGATTAGCTGTGGCAGCTGACATCAGTTTGTAAATGTGCATTCAAAGATTCCTTTCTGGAAGATTCGTTAGAACTTGTCCCTTTAATTCAGGAGATAATTTGTATATAAAAATATAATAATAAACAGTGATAAAGTTAAAGTTTTAAGCCAAGATGTGACACAACGTGTCTCCGAGTATGTGTTGAGGATGACTCTCAGCTTGTAGCTCAAAACATCAAAACGGAGTTTTTGTGTTTTCTAATTTTGATTCGCTGCGGCAATGCTCAAATTGGAATAACCTTAAATTTTCTCAGTTTGTAAATCACGTTCCGATAATTACTTTGTGTGAGTTTCTTTAAAATCGATGGTTCACAAGATATTTCCGCTAACAGGCTAACGGAGTGGACGTCAAACTATAAAACAAAACGTTTTAGGAAAACATCCTGCGCTTAATGTTGAGTTCAGATCATGTAATGGGGACACGTCTCAACTTTAAAAAAAATAAATAATTTGAGCTCAGTATCTGTAAAATCTACTGAGTTACAGCTATTTTGTGTTTGTTGAAGTCACATAGCTGTGGTGGCCATCTTGAATGGGACTAACCTCAAAAGGTAAAAACATAATGATTGATTTCTATGAGTTTCATTCAAATCTGTCCACTGGTCCACATGATATTTTGCTAACACGCTGCAAACAAACGCAGGCCTGGCTGCCAATTCACTGGGAACAGCTGCTGGGCTTCTGCTGTGTGACTTTTAGGGGGAGTGCTGCTCCATTAATTCCCCAGGGAGGAGGAGAGGCTTCAATGGGACACAAGCCATGTCCATTCACCTCTCCCCTTCCGTGCTCATGAGCATTAAGACCAGCTGGACTGACTGCATGTATAACTGCAGGACTGTAACTTTTGGTTGTTCAGTGGCTTCAGAATTGGACATGATTGTTGCTGCCTCGCAGTGATGACTGCACGCCCTCTTGTGAGAGAAAACAAGGTTGTCAGAACAACTTCCCGAAGAGGATTGCTCCATAAATTAAAGGGCACGCGATCCTCGAAACAATGCATGTCGCCCGCCACCCGTCATGCCAGAGTTTTAAACCAGAATCATCTCATGTAGAAAGAAAAAAAAAGAATGATGCAGAAAAATTGGTTCATGCATTTGTCACGTTTAGACTGGACTATTGTAATGGTTTGTTATCTGGGTGTCCAAAAACGTCTTTAAAAAGTCTTCAGTTGATCCAAAATGCTGCTGCCAGAATCTTAAATGGAGTTACTGGGAGATCATATCTCTCCAGTTTTAGCTTCTCTCCACTGGCTCCCTGTCAAATCCAAAATTGAATGCAAAAACGTACTTCTAACCTACAAAGCGCTCAACAACCTAGCTCCATTTTATATTACAGATCTTATTGTTCCATATTTTCCTAACGGAGCACTTCACTCTCAGGCAGCAGGTTTACTTGTGGTTCCTAGAGTTTCCAAAAGCAGAATGGGAGGAAGATCTTTCAGTTATCAGGCTCCTTTCTTGTGGAACTAACTTCCAGTTTCTGTCTGTAAGACTGACACATTGCCCAGTTTAAGACTGGGCTTAAGACTTTCCTTTTTGATAAATCCTATAGTTGGGGTTGGCTTGTTTAGCTGCTATAGGCTTAGCCTACTGGAGGACAACTCATTTTCTTAAATGATTTGCTAAAATTGGACAGTTTTCATTTGATATTATTTCTATCTTAACATGTGATTCTTGACCTGCCATTGTGTATCTGTTCCTACCAAACCAGTGCCCTGAGATGACTTCTGTCGTGACTTGGTGCTATATAAATAAAATGAATTGAAAAACATTGGAGTCACACCTTGTAAATGATGTAACACACAGTCTCACGTAACGTGCCAGCTTTTGGAGTGTGTGTCGAGGATGACTCAAGCACTACCTCACCAAATCTCAGCTCCAAATCTGTGAAATTAACAAGAATCTTGTATTTCTTATTATCAGTCGACTGTGGCGACCATCTCGAATTGGACCGACTCCAAAAAGGTAACCGGTTGTACATGTTTATTTAACTGCGTTCTAGAAGTTTCAATAAAAGCTAAGTGCTTCGTGAGATAATTTGCTAACAGATAAGAGTTGACGCCAATAATTATTGGCAAAGATTAAAACGATCAATTGGCACGTTAACGATAAGCTGGGGATGACTCTCAATTCCGATCGCATCAAATTTTAGGTCAGTAACTCTAAAATCAACTGATTTCTAGTCATTTTTTGTGCCATCTTGAATTAGATCAACTAAAATGTAATCAGTTGTAGAGGATTACTTCAGCGGTTTTCTTAAAATCTATGCAGTGGTTCAGCAGATGTTTTGCTAACAGACACACATTCGCCGCCTTTCCTCTTCAGCGGCGGCGACAAAAGTTTTACCCGAAGAACTGATGTGAACAAACAAAACCTCACCGTGTGGGAAGTTTTTCCAGCTGGTGTCGCTGACAAAACCATGAGGGAGTGAACAAATGAGATGCAAACGATGTCGTTTCCATCAGGCCTTGAAAATGTTCTGGCTGCCAACACCTTTTTGGTTTTTACATCAATCCTGCGTCTACCTGACAGTTACTGAAGCAAAGAGTAATCTCAGAGCAAACACACACACACTGGCAGGATGTTTGGACAATCATGGTTACAGTTCAGGCTGTTTTTTCCTGGTTCCTCCGACCCACGGTCCTGAGCTCTGGGAATATTTATGACGTCTCTGCACATGGGAGCAACACAAACATTCATTAGTGCCGTTATCAGTGTGCGCTGCACCAACCCCTGCCTCTCGGCCTGATAAAGCAGCTCTTCTTAGCTGTGGCATTAATGAGCTTTAGCTTTTGGTTGAGTCTAACAGAGGGAGGGCAGATTATTTTGAACTTTAACTTGTGACAAAAAAATACTATGCTAAGTGGAAAAACAAAAAAACTCAACTTTATGTGAATCAAATTGCTCTGAGTTTTCGTATTCTCTGTTTGATAAATGCATTTTCTTCACAATGAAAGTGAAATATTTTCAACAAGCAGTAGCCAGTGTCCCCCACTGCTGAGGGATTTGAATAGTGAATGTTTGTAGTAGTCGAGATGAGTGTTTTTCTGGGCAAGAATTAAACAGGAAATGAAAGTAAACCTTTACGTTTTTGTACAAGGTAGGAGTTACATTGTGTGCATGACGAGGTGACAGTTTTTCCAGTCAAATTTTAGCGATCTTTATTTACAACTACAGCGGTGCTTGAATGTTTGTGAACACTTTAGATTTTTCTATATTTCTGCATCAACATGACCTAAATCATCATCAGATTTTCACACAAGTCCTAAAAGTAGATAAAGAGAACACAATTAAAACACATTATACTTGGTCATTTATTTATTGAAGAAAATGATCCGATATTCCATATTTGTAAGTGGCAAAAGTATGTGAACCTCTAGGATTAGCAGTTCATTTGAAGGTGGAATTAGAGTCAGGTGTTTTCAGTCAATGGGAGTGGCCAGAATGTTACTGGAATTATGTTTTGTGGACGGATGAGACAAAGAGAGAACTTTTTGGTTTAAATGAAAAGGGTTATGTTTGAAGAAAGGAAAACTGCATTCCTGCATAAGAACCTTATTCCGTCTATGAAACATGGTGGTAGTAGTATCATGGTTTGGGCCCATTTAGCTGCATCTGGGCCAGGACAGTTTGCCATCATTGATGTAACAATGAATTCTGAATTAGATCAGAGAATTCTAAAGGAAAATGTCAGAATATATGTCCATAAATCTCAAGAGAATGTGGGTCATGCAGCAAGACAACGACTCGAAGAACACAAGTTGTTCTACCAAAGAATGGTTCAAGAAGAATAAAGTTCATGTTTTGGAATGGCCAAGTCAAAGTCCTGACTTTAAACTAATCCAGATGATGTGGAAGGACCTGAAGCTGCAGTTAATGTGAGGAAACCACCAACATCCAGAGTTGAAGCTGTTCTGTACGGAGGAATGTACTAAAATTTCTTAAAGTCAGTGTGCAGGACTGATTAACAGTTACTGGAAACATTCAGTTGTAGTAGGAGAGAGCGAGAAAAAGAAAAAATGAAAGAAAAAAGTTTTGATTATTATTGCAGCACGGTGGCACAACTGGTAGAGCTGCTGCCTCTCAGCGAGCAGGTCCCTGGTTCAAATCCCAGTTCAGGGACTTTTCTGGGTGGAGTTTGCATGTTCTCTCCGTGCATGCGTTGGTTTTCTCCAGGTACTCCGGTTTCCTCCCACAGACCAAAAACATGCATGTTAGACTGAATGGCAACTCTAAATTGTCCCTAGGTGTGAGTGAGAGAGTGAATGGTTGTTTGTCTCGTTTGTCTCCGTGTCCCTGTGATGGACCTGCGACCTGTCCAGGGTGTCCCTTGCACAGCGATTGCTGGACATGGGCACCGGCGACCCCCGGGACACAAACATGGAAGAAGCGGATTAAAGGTAAATGGATGGATGATTATTATTTTTTGACTCTGTCATCCTACAAAATATTGCCAACACCACCCAAGGCATCAGACGCTCATCGAGCTGCCTGTGGCTGAAAGATTACGTCAGAGTTTTGCATAATAAAAATAGCTATTTTATTCATATTGTACGTTACATGCATGACTTTCTTCGAAAAACAAAGAAAAACAGTGATTAACATGAGAAAAATAGTAACTAAGGTTGTAAATGAATGCAATTGTCTAAAAGTATTAACTGAATGTAAATATCACACAGTGATAAATCTAAGCAGAAATGTTGATAAAATTTGAAGCGGCAGAAAATTAAATCCATGTTTCAAGGTAACAACTGCAGTTATTGTCTGTTGAATGAGCTGGGTCTGAATAATAAATAATAAAAATATCATTATCATTATCATTAATAATAACAATAATAATGATAAAACATTACAGTCTAACCTACCGGAGAAAAATGCTTGAATCAGTTCTGAGCGTTCAGTTTGAGATACAAACGCTTCAACTAATGAAATAATCACTCTGCTATGAAGTATCTGAAATCAGTTTTATGAAAATTAATACCTACTACATTTTCTTTCTTGTCCTTCTTAAGCACTTATCAGTTGTTTCCATGCACAAACCGTTTGGTGGATCAGGTTCAGACCTCCCTTTCATTTGTCCTTTCAGACATGAAACAAGAAATTTTAGGTTCTCACTAATCTAAAAGTCAAATCTGGAACAGATAGAGGTGCGGGGGAAATTGAGTAGAAACAGGTTTCCTCCTCCTAAACAACAATAGTAACAATTGGGTTGAAATCAATTCTGCTGTATTTGTAACAAATTGGTAACATTTATAGAAGACTGGAAAGAAATATGCAGGCAAGCAAAACAAATGTACCAAGCATCACTGGTTTGCCATCACTGCTGGGACTCTCTCAACCTCTCCCATGCGCAGACTGTGCGAGTTAATTTGGACTTAATCTGGAAGAGAGCAGCCAAGTGGATCATTACAAGATCTGTTATTACTTTTAAGCCATGGACCCGGTCCGTTCAGGCAAACTGCTTTGGCTCTGATGCAGAATGTAGAAATTAACCGATTCCAGTGCAAAGTTCATGAGGAGCAACACAACCTCAAACCGTGACATCTCCATCCTACAACCCATCATTCTAAAACCTGTTCATCATCAACTATCTGGTAAGTTTCATCAAAGTTCATGCTCAATAATTCGGGTAAATAAAATCCAACAAAGTTAAGTCAGGTCCTCTGGGCGTTTTTATTTTTTATAAACGTTTTGTCCTTCATCCAAAGGACTTCATCAGTCAGAGGCGCCACAACAAACGCAGTCCCACAAGCAGCACACTCACATGGACCAACCAGTTTGCTGGTGATAAGATAGTTTCTGTCCAAGAATTGGTTGGTCCACTATGTCAAGTCAAATTTATTTATATAGCACATTTAAAACAGTAACTGTTATCAAAGTGCTTAAAAAAAGATCACAGCATCAAATAAAAATATATAATTACACATTCAGGAATAAAAACAAAAACATAAAGTATAAATAGAAACAATGAGAATACTAAATCAAATCTATGCGAGTGTGCTGCTTGTGGGACTGAGTTTGTTGCAACTCCTCGGACTGATGAAGTCCTTTGGATGGAGGAAACGTTTCAACAAAAAGAAACCATCCAGATGACCTTTAGGCCATTTTTATTTAAAAAAGTAAAAAACTTGCAATCGTTAATTTGATTGTTACTGGTTGAACTTTGACATAATGTGTAGAGTTTCTTGTGGAATTCAATAGAAAAAGCTGGAATTCTTGTTTTTTTTTTTATACCCCTGGTGCTCTGCGAATGTCCTGAGCTGCGTTAAAATGGCCTTATTGTGTGTTTTTGACCAATTTTAAAATTCCAGAATTGCTTCTCAGATTCTCCGTCATCAGCTTTTGGTTCAGAAGGATTTAAAGCTCTTTACAATTTGGTTGAATGACGCCAAGAAGTTGAGAAGTTTCCATGCAAGGCATTTCTTCCACACATCGTTTTGCTCAAATGTGATGAAAACGAGTTTTCGGAATATGAACTTCTTTTTGGTCACACAGCTCTGCATATTGCACTCATTTACATTAATGTTAATCTGTGCATTGTATTAAACCTTAAACAACTAAAGTTCAAACTTTTCAATTTCTACAGCTGCTTAGACAAAATAATCACTAGACCTCCAAAACCGAGAACACATCTGGAGCTAAAAGCACATATTTTCATCTATGAACTTGTCAGACCTTACTGTAATAAACAGCCCATTCCTTTTTCTCCATGTCGCAGGCGTGTCCATTTGCCAGCCCGTTTATTGTTCCATTCATCTTTCCATTGAGTTTTTCGTTGTTTTCCCCATCAAAGTTCTTCCTCAGAGCCAGAGCTGGCTTACTGGTGTGCCAGTTCCATAAAACCTTGTTCATATCATTCTGGGCCCTGATCCCTAGGAGCTTGTCTTCGTCGCTTCTGTCGTCGTCTTCACCGTCATCCTTGCTGGCAGGATGGTGGTGGAGGCTTTGCATCTCTCCGCTGATGTTCTCAAAGTACTGATGGATGCAAACCTTAGCGAAGCTCTTGGCGTGCTCCTTGCAGGTCTCGTCAAACATCTTGCGCTCGATGTCGATGTAATGAGACCAGTACTTGGTTTTGAGGAAGGCAGCTTGGGTGAAGCATGGTCTAATCGCTCGGATCAGGAAGGCAGTGAAGGTAATCATGAACAAAAATATCCACCCACATGCCTGCAAAATAAATAAAATAAAAACATTTAATTTGAGATACTGGCTGCCATCTAGGTGATTTGATCTTCCAGTTATGATAACCTGGGGCCTCACGTACAGAGGGTGCATGGTCTCAAAAACACGGTGAACGCTCATTTCATACAAAACTTGAGATGTATCAAGAATGAAACGACCGTGTATGTGACATGCAATTCGATGAGTGGATAGAAAAGCATGTGAAGAATGGTGAAGAAAATACCTTTAACAACAATATTAGAGTCTATATCAAATGAAGCAATATGCAGAGAGCATGTATTTACAGACAGAGGACTTTCTGGCCCACGATGACGACTGGCTGAGTCGTTTTAGGCTTTCAAGGGCAATCCTTTTTGAAACTGTGCTTGGAGCTTGAGCCAGTCTTGGAGTGCGACAGGGAGGAACTGTGCGCTGCCTGTACACGTACAGCTGCTGACCACACTGGCGTTCCTATCATTAGGGCGTTCCAGTGGAGCTGGCAGACCGATCAGGACTGTGCCAGTTGAGCCAGAGCTGAGCCATGTGTGGGATGGATCCGTATGTCAACCAGGTATATCAAATTTCCTACAATGCAGTTGAACAGGCCAACATTAAAGTACAATTTGCAGTGACAGCTGGTTTTCCTAATGTAAATCGGAGATATCGACTGCACACCCAATCCTATAAAAAGCACCAAAGGATGAATATGCTTGTTAACAGGAAACATTTTAATTCAACGTGCAAATCATATGATGTGCAAAAACAACTAACCAACATTGTGGGAAGGTGGCCTGCAACGCACAATTCACTCATTCTAAGGAACAGCATGGTTGGGAACAGGCTACGATCTGTCATGGTGCAGGATGGGGGGTTTCTTGGTGGATAAATTCATTTAATCATCTTAATATGTCCGACCATTTTGTCTTAATTTCTGTGGGTGTGCGCTGCTCTGACCCCACAGCCTTTACACACGTTGTCCCACTCACTCCTTAGTGCTTGGCACTAAAGCCAGAGAACAGAATGCCAAACAGGATGTTTTTACATTTCTCTACCTCATTTAAAAGAGTCTCCAACTCACATTCTGTGAATTTCTCTTTTCCTGCATGTAGACATACTTTTCAATAGTGCAGAGAGGAGATTCCTCAAGTGCAGGACATATTTAAATCTATTTGCATATTTAAAATGAGGAGTGTCAAGGGAGAAGTCAGGTATTCCCTTGTGTGCTCAGTTCCTGGTTGATTGGGACGTAAAAAAAAGAAGTGTGCTTGGATTCACATGCACACATGGTTTACATGTATGTATCCTGTTTTCTTGAGTTATGCGTACGCCGTGTTTCAGTAGAAAATCCACTCAAGTCTTTGTACGCGAGACCCCTGGTGACCTTATTAATGTCTTATTGATACACTTTCATTAAAAAGACCCCCTCTGATAGTTTTAGGCTAGACCAGGTTTTTTTTTTTTTTGTGGGGGGGGGGGGGGGGGGGGGGGGGGGACCAGGTGCTGGTCATAAAATTAGAATATCTTGAAAAAGTTAATTTCAGTAATTCCATTCATAAAGTGAAACTTGTATATTATGTTCATTCATTACACACAGACTGATATATTTCAAATATTTATATTTTTATGTTTATGATTATAACTGACAACTAATGAAAACCCCTAATTCAATATTTCAGAAAATTAGAATATTTTGAAAAGGTTCAATATTGAAGACACCTGGTGTCACGCTCTAATCAGCTAATTAACTCAAAACACCTTCATAGGCCTTTAAATGGTCTCAGTCTAGTTCTGTAGGCTACACAATCATGGGGAAGACTGTTGACAGTTGTCCAAAAGACGACCATTGATACCTTGCACAAGGAGGGCAAGACACAAAAAGGTTATTACTAAAGAGGCTGGCTGTTCACAGAGCTCTGTGTCCAAGCACATTAATAGAGAGGCGAAGGGAAGGAAATGATGTGGTAGAAAAAAAGTGTACAAGCAATAGGTATAACTGCACCCTGGAGAGGATGGTGAAACAAAACCCATTCCAAAATGTGGGGGAGATTTACAAAGAGTGGACTGCAGCTGGAGTCAGTGCTTCAAAAGTGTAAGGTTTCCAGTCAGTGATGGTTTTGGGGTGCCATGTCATCTACTGGTGTTGGTCCACTGTGCTTTCTGAGGTCCAAGGTCAACACAGTCGTCTACCAGGAAGTTTTAGAGCACTTCATGATTCCTGCTGATGACCAACTTTATGGAGATGCAGATTTCATTTTCCAACAGGATTTGGCACCTGCACACAGTGCCAAAGCTACCAGTACCTGGTTTAAAGGACCATGGTATCCCTGTTCTTAATTGGACAGCAAACTCACCTGACCTCAACCCCACAGAAAATCTATGAGGTATTACGAAGAGGAAGATGCGATACACCAGAGCCAACAATTCAGAAGAGCTGAAGGCCACTATCAGATCAACCTGGATCTGGATAACACCTGAGCAGTGCCACAGACTGATTGACTCCATGCCACGCTGCATCGCTGCAGTAATCCAGGCAAAAGGAGCCCCAACTAAGTATTGAGTGATGTACATGCTCATACTTTTCATGTTCATACTTTTCAGTTGGCCAACCTTTCTAAAAATCCTTTTTTTTAAAGGTCTTAAGTAATATTCAAGTTTTCCAAGATACTGAATTTGGGGTTTTCATTAGTTGTCAGTTATAATCATCAACATTTACCCTTTATTTATACAGGTAGTCTCATTGAGTCATGAGAACTCATTTTCAAGAGACCTGTTTTTGGGATCAGATTGTGGGGGTTAAGGGCCTTGCTCAGAGGACCAGAGTGGGGCAAATGAGGGTGGAGGCAGGTGTGGGCGTTTCACCTTTTCCACCCACATTTTGATGTTTATAGCACTGGGAGTTGAACCTGTGACTTTCTGATCACAGGCCTGTCTTCTCTAACCTCTACGCCACCACTCCCTAACATTAAAAGAAATTAACATTTGATATACATCAGTCTGTGTGTAATGAATGAATATAATATACAAGTTTCACTTTTTGAATGGAATTACTGAAATAAATAAACTTTTTCATGATATTCTAATTCTATGACCAGCACATGTACATACTTGATAAATAATGTGTCCCCAGCCTCTTAAGGTATGTATGAAGTACTTTCTGTAAACTTAGTCTTGCGACGACGCATTAGCCTAAACATATTTGTCTATTTTTGGAGTCTTCAAGGTTCAGTCTAGTTCTGGAAACAGCTTAAAAGTTTTTTTAGCCTTGAGGTTTTCCATGCATTTGTCCAATATGTTTAATGTAAACTTCGTTAAGTTTAATTGATAAAAAGGTAAGTTTTCATCAACTTTTTAAAATATTTTCTTTTTAATTTATTTAGGGACCAAATAGAGATGATCCAAGGGCCACTTTTGGCCCATGGGTCATACGTCTTGGTTAGGCCAATTGTGTTGCCATAATTGTGCAACAACAGTTTATGGTCAGTCATTGACAAAAAAATAAAATAAAACATTATGAAAAACAGTTTAAGATCTTTGAACAAAGTAAATTTCACAATACCTGGGATATACATTTGATGTACCGCGATGCAGCCACTCTCAATTCCTCATGCTCAAACAGGTCTTTGCAGGGAATTCTTGCCAACAGTTTAATCTTCTCCGTCTCAGACATCTGCCTGACAAAACTGTAATTTCCAAACTTTTCAATGTCCAGGTTGATGCTGAAAGCACAGAGGAAGCTCTTACCATCCATGAGAGTGACAGACACCCAGACTGCAGGTGCGATCAGGGATCTCTGTGTGACCGAACAAAGCATGTAGCGCAGGATTGTTGGATCCTTTGTGCGACTCCCAGTAGGCCGTCTCCACTCCTCGGCCAACACAGACACGTTATTGTTCAGTACAAAACCTAATAGAAAGAACCATATGGGAGGGACGATGAGCAGTCCAGTACTGTAGGTGTAGTTGTACTCTGGCATGCAGGGGCAGTTGAACTCAAAGGCAGAGTACATGTGGGCACTTGCCAACGCCATGATCCCACAAATCCCATTCATGAAAGACTCCTGGTTGGATTGGAGGAACTGGAACATCATACGAAACTTATCCATGTTTGCGAGATGTGGTGGACCTTCGGTTCAGAGGTAAATCTGAGCCAAGACAAGAGAAATAAAAAAGTATTTATACATCAGCTTTACTTTTTGTCAAGTTACAACCACAAACTTGCAATGTATTTTACTGGGATTTTGACCCAACCCTACTTTAAGGTTCAACAACTTTAACCTCAATCAGGCTGGTGTTCCTTGGTCTTCATGATACCGTTTGATCAATAATGTTCTGTCACAGACCTCAAGTCTTCAGAGAACAGCTAGTTTTAGACAGATTCCATTACACAGAGATAATTTAAAATGATTAAGTGAATTCTGATCTGGTCTGTAGTTTGGGTTTCAGAGTAAAAGAGGTCGATAACATCAGCCCAACACCATTCACATTTTTATTTTTGTCCTTTTACTCCATAATTATTTGCCATTAGTTTCACATAAAATGCCAGTAAAATATTTGTTTAAATTTCTGGTGCTAACTTCCCAAAATGTGTCAAAAGTTGAAGGGGTATGAATGCCTTAATGTTCTGTTGGTAAACCCCCCCCCCCCCCCAAAAAAAAAAACAAACCAATATGTCACTACATAAAGTATGTAGTGTTTTAAGTGACAACAAAGTTATTTCTTTAAAGCAAGAAATGAACATTTCCAGATCTAAAGATCAGATTCCCAGACAATAATCTGGTTGCCAAGTTGTTATAGGGTATTAAATTAAAACATAACGTTATAAACCTTAACGTCTGTGTTCAAATTCCTGCCGACTTCGACGCTTTAGTGTTTTTATAGCAAATAAGATTTCTTGGTATTCAGAAAGACTTTACTTATTCTTTCAACCAGTTTAAAAACAGCCTTATTAAATAAGAAACCATTTTCATGCGATCAGATTCAGCTCGATAAAAATTAAAAAGATATTTAAATATAAAAAAACAACTTACCTTTTTACTGGAGTGGATAAGTAGACGAAAAGTTGTCATATAAAAGTGAAGGCCATGGTAAATGAACACAGTATCCACATCCGATCGGCTGTAAAAGTACTTCTCGAACTCTCTGACGACGTAGAAAACTGAAGCCGTCATCGTGCCCCTCCCTTAGAGGCACATGGGTTATAGTGAGTCCACAAAAGGTTCTGGTTCAACGCAGGCGTTCTCAGAAGGCTCAGACATAAACCAACACACTTCCTATTGTCCATTTCATCTTTTAGCTTAATGTGTTTGTTTTCCTAAATGAAAACTGTCTTTTGTGTCCATCCGAGGTATCGGATTGTCCAGGACGCAGCATTGTTCACGTGTAGCTCTCACAATCCAGACATGCAAACAAGCTTTCAATCCATTCAAATTTCTGTGGCTTTGGCTGGAAAATGTGGTTGTCCTGTCACAGGTGAAAAGTGAATCTGTTTTCAGACGTGTAGAGATAAACCACCAAGCTACAAGTCCATCATATCTAAAACGTAAATCTAAGGGGTTAGTTTTATTTCACAAAACCCATTGAACAGGTCTAGGCTGGACTGTTGCATTTGTTTACCTGGATGTCCAAAATAATTAAAGTCTTTCAGCTGATCCAAAATGTTGCCGCCAGATTCTTAATGGGAACTGATAGGAGATATAGCTCTCTCCAGTTTTAGCTTCTCTCCATTGGCTCCCTGTCAAATCCAAAATAGAATAAAAAAAAAAAAATAAATAAAATCTTACTTCTAACCTACAAAGCTCTCAACAACCTAGCTCCATCTTATTTTACAGATCTTATCGTTACACATTTTCCCAACAGACTCGCTCTCAGGCTGCAGGTTTACTTGTGGTTCCTAGTTTTTAAAAAGCAGAATGGGAGGCAGATCTTTCAGTTATCAGGCTCCTCTCTTGTGGAACCAACTTCCAGTTTCTGTCCATGAGGCTGACACATTGTCCAGTTTTAAGACTGGGCTTAAGACTTTCCTTTTTGATAAATCCTATAGTTAGGGTCAACTTGGGTTTCCTGAGATATTCCTTAGTTATGCTGCTATAGACTTATACTGCTGGAGGACAAATTGACCACATTTCCTCACTCTGCTGCGGTCTTTACTTACTCTGCCCCATTTGTATATAGAATTATTTTTTCCTTAATGTGTGTTTTTCGGTCTTTTCTCAAGTTCACCTGGACCTGTCATTCTGTGTTTGTTTCTCCTTCCTGTCCTCTCAAACCAGTTGACTCATCCCGAGCATGGGTCTGGTGGAGGTTTCTTCCAGTTAAAGGGAGTTTTACCTTCCCGCTGTTGCCTTTGTGCTTGCTCAAGATGGGAGACTGAGACTAAGTGAAGCTGTAACGCAATCTGTTGGCTTCCTTTAATAACTTTATTAATTGGCTTTTATAATGTCTAAATGCTTTTGTACAGTGCCATGAGACGACTTCTGTTGTGACTTGGTACTAAATTAATAAATTGAATCGAACACCCGTTTCCACAAAAAAAAAAATGAACCAGAATATGACAAAACCAAATGGAAGCCCACAACAACAAAAGACTTGCTCCTTTTCCTGAAGCCTTTACATCGTTTCTGTTTGAAGGTAATGTGCATCCTGATCGTTCTTGCTGCAGATCACAACTGAAACCTCCTTTAAATGACTCAAGACTTTCTTTGAAAATGCAGTTGAAATTTCAGGAAGTCAGCTCAGACGTTTTTACTTCTCAGCATCGCACAGGAAAATGTCAGAGCACATGGGCAGGGTGTACAGGAAGTGAGCAACCTACATCTAAAATAGGAAGAGATCTCAGCTTATCTGTGCGTTCAGGTCGTTTCCTTTTTTACTTACACACCATCTGAACATTGTGTTGTGATCAAAATCCTCTATTCGGGTGAGAATTTGTTCCCTTTTGTCCTCCGTTTAAAGTTTTATTTACTAAAAAGCAGCATTTTATATTCCATCCACAAAAAGGAAAGAAGCTAAAGTAACTTTTGGCAATCGAGAAATTCACTTTAATCTATTTTACCTGCATCATTTTTTAATAGTGTAATTGCATTGTTTTTTTTAACTTCATCAATGGCACATTTTTTATAAAATTAACTGAACACTGCTCCAACCTTTTCAGACAGAAGCGATGATGCAAGAAACGGTGCTGCAAGTGTTTGTGGTGGCGTTGGGTCTTCTGCTGTGTCCCAGAGACCCTGGTGTTGAGGAGTGGGATGAGGTCATCACTCCAGGTTTGCAGACGCATGAAGAGAGGCTGCTCAGGGGGAAAGAGAAACTGGACCAAGTTGGTGATAAAATGACACAAAATGGAAACCAAGAGCCTCACGGTTACACAAACATTTATGAGCAACAGAATCAGTTTGATCGGCGTCTTATCGAAAACGATGGATCATTAGATTCAGATGTGGCCGTTTCTGAGGCACCAAGAGGGGCTGATCACAGATTACCAAAGGATAGTGTTGCCAAGTCTGCTGCCAATCTTGAAGACTATAACAGTGAACCAAAGACTGAAGACGACGTCCTCGCCAACAGTTTTCCTAAAGCCTCGGGGAGTCCACAGGGAAGAAGCAAAAAGTCTGAAAAGATGGAACAAAAATCACCTGCAGAAGCTGAAACTGCACAGAAGGCCCTCGCAGCCGGGGAGAGGGATTACCTTTGGTATATTTGGAACACCTTCTCCATTATTTCCATGATTCGCTTCTTCAGAAAATACCTGAGGAGTTTTCAACTGAATCAAGAGGTAAGCAGGACCTTCCCTGCAGAATGCAGAGTTGCTGGAGTCCAACTACCTGACGCTGCTACTCTGCATTATTTTTTTGATAAATGTGTCCAAATCTCATCCGAGAAGAAGTGCAGAGAGGGAGAGTTTTTGGAAGGTTTTGCAAACGACCTTATAGAAGCCATGAGGAGCATCTGCGACAACAATGGCGGCATGGCGATCGAAGACTTCCAGGTGGTGAACACGTGCGATATCGTTGTTCACGTCACTCCACCTGAGCCGTACGGTTTTCAGTGCCAGCTCGGAAACAACCAGGTGAGCGGCCTGTTGTTGGACATGCAAGTCTGTGGTCAAATAAAACTGGTGGAAGAAAAGAAAAGCCAAAATGGCTGCCCCTGCCAGTCCTCTGAGGAGATGGTTTGCTTGCTGCATTGCGAGAGCGAGATTAAAACAAAAACGGTGAATGTTTGGGATGATCTATGCTCCAAAAACTCTCCGTTCCTGTCTAAAGCGAAAGTTGCCAGGTGGTTTCAGAGAACCATCAAACAAGCCTGGGCACAAATTTCACATAAGTACGAGTTTGAGCTGATCATCCGCCACGTCGAGGCTCCAGGCGCTCTAGTCATTCGGTTCAGATCAGGGAAGAAGATCAGCTTCAATATGAACCCAGTGGTTAAATTCAACTCTGAAGCCCATTTCTTCATTACACCGTGGTCCTCAAGTACTTTGGACATCTTCTGGACGCTCTCCCTGACCAACTATGAGAACTGCCTTTTGGAGTACCTCTCCAAACATCTCCCTGAAAACTCCTGCCACAATCAAACCCTTGAAATCGCTTGTTTTCTTCACAGGAGACAAATGGCATTGACAGGAAGTTCTGCACTAACGGACTACCATTTCAAAATGGCACTGATGCATCTTTTGTTGACTAAAAAGTCATCAGAGTGGAACCCAGACTTTGTGGCTCACAGGCTACAAGACTTGTTGGGATATATAGAGGAAAGCCTGGAGAAGAAGCTGCTGACCCACGTTTTTATTGGCAACCCTTTAGCCCAGGTCATTGAACTCCCCACAGAGTTCACCAAAAACAAACCAGTGAATCTCTTCCATCCCTTCGTTTTACATAACTGCATTTACCAAACTGCAGTTGCTCATTTCCAGGAGATGCTTCGAAACACATGCATGCTGATACACGAGTATGTTGCTCAACGTACGAACAGTACCAACTCTTTGAAGAAATGTATGAAAAATGGTGCAAAAGTTACTTATCCCAAATAATTTATTAACTAATGACATCTCATTCAATAGGCAAGTTCCCAACTTTTGTTTAAGTTTAATATTTCATTATTTTTAACCTTGTTCACAGTCACAAAGTCTGTGTTCTCTTTCCAATTGGAGATGACTGGATTAGTGTCGGCAGAAGATATCAGGTGGCCAGCTTCCTCTGATTTATCTTCAGTCAAGTTTCCAAGAGTGACTGGAGACGACCTTCTCAGACCCTCCTGAAATGAGACGCGTTTGATGCCAAACTTTCAACTTGCATCCTAATTTTGCAAGATGTTGCCATTTATTGCATTTGCACCAGTATTAGCTTGACAAATGTTTTATCTATTGAAGATACAGATTAAGATTCATGCATCTAAATGCTGCGTTTGATGGACAGATTTACTACACTGTCAAAAAATAAAAGAAAAATGTGGAAACTCACCCGCTGGTTCTGCTGACTGGCATGTTGACTCACAACAGTCACACACACTGTCCTTACCGTAGAGCTCCTTCCACCTACAACAAAAACAGGATTATCAGAAACATTGGTGCACCACAAGGCTCAGTGTTAGGACCCACCCTCTTCACAAGCTACATAGTTCATGTAGGTCAGATCATCCCTGATGCATCCTTACAATTTTATGCTGATGACAGTTTATTGTCGAGATACACACTTTTCAAAATATAATTTTCTTCCAATTATTTTTTTCAAGTTACAGGCCTTCTTTTAAATTTGTCTACTGTTATCATGCTTTGTTAAAACAGGTCTCTCTTGTAAATGAGACTAACCTGTATAAACAAAGGTTGAATGAATTAGGTCAAAATACAGCTGCAGCTTTAACCAAGGAGCATACCTGCTGCCAACAAACGCCCCTACAGACAAGTTTAGCAGGTCTCAACTCACGTCTGAGTAGCTTCATCATAATTGCATGCCTTTGAGCTGGGAGTTGGAATGGGTGGCCCTGCAGACATCTCGCAGTGCATGGAGAATTCCTTAAAGACAATGTATTTTAGTGTTAATGGAATATCTTCCATTATTAAGCATGAAGTTGTTATTTATTCACTGTACCTGTGGAGAAGTGGTGGAAGCACCCCGTTTGAAAAGAAAGGCCCCCACGCTGAATTTCTGTGTCGTTTTCGAGTCACCAGTGAGGAATTTGGACTGTGTTGACACCTTACTATCAACCATACAGCTGCAGATTCAGAAAAAAAAAGCATTATTTCAATGCAAAAGGCTCCATTTAGTTCAACAATATAAGTATTACCCTTTGTTGTCGATGACTGTGTATCGAGGATGTGAGTAGGGGTCTTGAGAGGCAGTCACGAAGCACTTATTGATGTAAATCCTCTTCTTTCCAGTTTTGTCATGCCCATTGACCTCAAAGTGCATTGGATCCCCCAAGTTGTAGATTTTTCTGCTGGTGATCGACCTCACTCCTGCAGCTAGTGAACATCACAGGCCAATTAAAATTACTGATTCAAGGCAATAAAGGCCAGAGAAATTATAAAACTCGATTGATTTTTTGTTGTTAGCCACATGAACGCAATCTTTTTTTTTTTTTTTAACCATCATTTGCCACAGTATAGAATCTTTTGTTTAGGCCTTACAGATTTAACAACTTAAGACAGCGATCTGGAATTTATACAATCTAAAAACTCATTCTTGCTCCCCCCCCCAAATAAAACCTGCCCAGAGCAGCCAACGGTACTTAAAACTTCAAATAACAAAAACTACATACTGTACAGATTTTGTGACATTGTGAAAAATATAATAAACCATTAAGTTATTGGCATTTTTACATGTTAGAAGAAAAAAACTTTTTTTTTTTTAACCAATATACAGTATATGTGTAGACTGCCTGTGATAAATGTAAGCACTGAAATTAGCAGACTTAAGAGTCTTTTTGTATTTGAGAAAAAAAACAACAAAACAACTTATTTTTCGGTCTTTAAGGTGCACCGGATTATAAAATTCACTCTCGATTTTTGAGAAAATTCAAGGATCTTAAGTGCGTCTTATAGTCCGAAAAATACGGTATCTCATTTTGAAAAGGGAATAAAAATAAATCAGGCCATTTTGTTGGATATTTAATTGTGACTTAATACAGTTCTTCTCATAAAAATAAATTTTCCATTCACTTCAAATGTTATTCGGTTTTAAACAAATGCAAACTGTTCTACTTTTCTGTGATTTTAAAATGACTAGCAACATTTGTCTCTATTTTTCCCCTTATATTGGTTATAAATTTAATATTATTTACTTCCATATTTGTTTTGGTCAAAGCTCCAGAGAGAGGTTACAGCCCACCGGCTAAGATAAAAAAAATTGTTGCTGATTTTCATGAAAATAAAGAGTCAAATTAAAAACTTGTCTGGTTTTAGAACAACTATGATTTTACTGTTATAAGTATTTTAAAAAAATGGTTGCAATGTTTTCCCTACAGTCTTTTTTTTTTTTTTGTCTTATTCAACACACGATTTCAGTTTCTTGAAATTGGTTTAAGTTTAGAACTCTGCCAGTTCATGATACTGATTTAAAAAGAGTTCATTTCTCCCAGTCATCTCAGCATTTCAAATTACCATAGTTTAAAACAAATATATCTACTGACAACTTTGAAAGTCATAAGAAATTCTAGAGAATAACATTCACAAAGCCTACCATCTGGAGGAGAAAAGGAGAAATTGCCGTTTGATAGAAGTTTCGTGTAAACAGTTCCTTCTTGTGGTTTGGGGTGAAAGCCAACTTTGTACGAGTAAAACAACCTGCAAGAGTTGCAAGTGAAAAGAGAATTAAACTTACAAATGAACCGAGGCAAATTACTACAAATTCATCCCAAGATTTTGAGGTGAATTTATAAAAAAAGCAAACCGTACCTGTGGTATTTGCACTGCAGAGGAATGTCGAATGGCATTTCCCTCAAAACTGGGCCAGTTGGATTATAGTGGAGCAAAATACTGACTGAAAAATAATCTGGGAAACTCTGCAAGGAAAAATGATGATCATTTTATAAAATTAAGCCAATAAATAAATAAAGGGGTGGGGTGAATTTTTACCAACCTCTTTTTTGAATCCACAGTCAGTTTTCAGATAGTACAAAAAGCTGTAGTGGTCTTCATGAATTTGGCTGACAGGACAACTTCCTAGGGATAAATATGTGTGTGCATCCTCAGATTTAAAGACCTTCCTTTTGACTCTTACATTTATTCTGTTAAAATAACACAGAACTTCAACAGAGTCCGATTTTCGTGCTGCTCCTTCAGCTCGAGGGACGGCGGCAGGAACACCCAGCAACACTTTCTGGAGCCATCTAGGAACCTGTCTCGCACTTTTTTCTGGCTTCAGATCCTCTTTGCGATCACTGGAGATAGGAACAGCAAGATATTCAGGAAGTTTCTTTGCAGCTCCCTCAAATGATGCACCTAAAAATTTAAATTCAGGTGAGGAAACTTCTTTATTTGTTACAGTCTTCTCTCTCTCCCACTCTGATTCAAAATTTTCCATGAGCACACCAAAGCAGGCAGAGCAAAATATCAGCAAGACAAGCTCCACTTTCATCATTTTCACACCCGAGTCTGCCTCTGGCTGGGTTTCACCTGGTTTTTCCTACACTGCAATCAGCAGCCAACTCTCAGCAGCTGCTTCAGGCGGTGAAGACAAGCAACCAAAAACTGCAAGAATAAAAAACAAAACAAAGATTACAAAAGCCTATGATTGAAATGACTTACTTTATAGGATGTATTGTTTCTCTTTTTTATATCAAAACTTTAAGTTATCAAATATAATGAGGATGATAAATTGTGTTTGTGATGAATTAATTATAAATTAAGATCAAAGGATCATGTTAAGAAAGATTATTTTATGTAAATGGTAAATGGTAAATGGAGCTTACTTCTATAGCGCCTTCCAGCCCCCTATGAGGGGCCCCAAGGCGCTTTACAGTACCAGCCATCCACCCATTCACACGCACATTCATACACCGGTGGCGGTAGGCTGCCATGCAAGGCGCCATCCAGTCCCACCGGGAGCAACTCGGGGTTAAGTGTCTTGCCCAGGGACACAACGGCACATGGTGTGGGAAGTCGGGATTCGAACCTCCAACCTTCCGATCAGAGGTCGGCTGCCACTACCACTGCACCACGGCCGCCCACAATATGTAGACATATTTATTTTTAAAAGTAGACTTTTTTTAACATTAATGCTTATTTTAACATTTTAAAAGGTCTAGATTCAAAAATATTTAACACACAAAATGTAAACATAATAATCTTTAGTCTTTTATTTTGGTAGTCCGTTTTCGGATGTTACGCAATGAACGGACTCGCGACCAGGAAGTTCCTACACAAAACTGGTTAGAAGTGCGTTTTGTTCGAAAGCTGCGTTTGTCCTTCATTAGCTTGTTTTTTTATTACGCAAATTGAATAGTAATTCGTATCTAATTTTGTAGAGCATATTTAAACGTTTTATTAAACATCTTGTGGCTGCAGTTCAGCTTTTTTGCTAAATAATGCTGCGTAATAACGTTTGTGTTAGCTGGCCCAGCTAACGAGCGAGCTAGCGTCCGATGTTGTTTTGATCATTGATTTTCCGTCTAATGCTAAAAATACTGAGCGATATTGTTTTTTTTTTCTATTGAGTCTGGTGGAATAAGATCGTTCTTATAGGTGGTAGCAACGAACAAACTAAAAATAGGGCTTGTTACTCAGTTTAGTAGACCAGCTAGCTAGTTAGCTACAGCTAACGGCTATCGTCAAACGGCGCTCACCGAGCTCTTCTCTTCCCACCCCGGTCGAGACTCTTGGGATTGGCCCCCCGGATTTTCGCCTACTGTTAACCGCACAAATCTGATGAGCTATAGAAGCTCTTTGTAAACCGGGACCAATGCGCGGGATGATGGGAACTCAAAACAGCCCCGTCAAGAGCTACGATTATCTCTTGAAATTTCTTCTGGTGGGAGACAGCGATGTGGGAAAAGGTGAAATCTTGGAAAGTTTGCAGGACGGATCTGTGGAGTCTCCTTACGTCTACAGCAGCGGTAAACATCCACTTTTGTTACCCTGTTTATTATTAAATTGTAAACCTTTAATGGCCGTCTAAGTTACTAATGTGTGGCTTGTGATCACTTAGGAATTGACTACAAGACCACCACTATTCTGCTGGATGGTAGAAGAGTTAAATTAGAGCTGTGGTAAGTTTTAAGCAAGTCAACAAAAGACGACTCGCAGTGTATTGTTGTTTTTAATGTTTCTGATTATGTGTCACAGGGACACATCAGGACAAGGCAGATTCTGCACCATCTTCAGGTCCTATTCACGTGGAGCACAGGTGATTTAAACATCAATATCCCTGTTTTTCTCTTGATGGTGTAATGCTCCGTTTCATTTAGTCCTAAAGCACCTGAATGGGTCTCTGAAACACAGTCATTAGGTCAGGAGTTTGGATTGTAGAACCTACAGCGAGATAAATATGACTTCAGTCCTGAATGTCGTGTACAGTCACTCACAATAATGAGTAAAAAGGTTTAATGAGTTTTTTAAATTTTTCTCAGTCTTACACATAATTATCAGTAAAGTTTCTCCCTGGTGTATTGACCATAAAACTGTTGGATTCAACCGCAATATGTTACTTCATGATTTGTGGCAGTTTGTTTTTATTCATTGTTATTTTTGAAAAGTTAAAAATTGTATTTACATGAATTTTAACGTTTAAATGACTGAAAATATTTGATTGTTTACAGCTGTTTTACTGTAATGTTTTATAATCAGTGCTTAGTCAGTTTGTTGTGAGACTTTCTTTTGTGCATACCAAGTTTTACACCGGAATCAAGCGGAGGATCAGATGTCGGTGTTACAAAGTAGTTTCTGTTTTGGTTATAATTATTAAAACAGAGCAGGTAAAAACATGGCAAGAACACCGCCACAGATTTTTAGGAACCTGTCCTTCCTCCCTTTTGTTAGTCGAGTAATGCTATGAAAACTTCTATTGTTTCAATTTGTTTGAAACTACAACAAAAAAAGCAGCAACACTTCCCACTGAATTATCTGGACTCTGGTTAAATTTGAATTAATTGGACTTACTTGAACTTGTTTTGTAACAGGGCATCCTTCTTGTATATGACATCACTAATGGTTGGTCATTTGATGGAATTGATCGTTGGATTCGGGAAATCGATGAGGTAATCCATTTACATTTTTGTTGGCAACAAAGAAGTATAAGAAACGCTCAGTAGAAGTGGGTATAATATATATTCATGTCACTGGAAGCCTCAGTCTTAGTAACGTCTTTTACTAGGTCAGTTATTGAAAACACATAGAAGACGTGCATTAGTTTGTGAACCCAGTTGCTTTGTTTCCTTCAGCATGCCCCAGGTGTTCCCAGGATCCTGGTAGGAAACCGACTTCACCTGGCTTTTAAACGGCAGGTCCCGACAGAGCAGGCGAGAGCCTACGCAGAAAAGAACAGCATGACGTTTTTTGAAGTCAGTCCTCTCTGCAACTTCAACGTCATCGAGTCCTTCACAGAACTGTCGCGCATTGTGCTGATGAGACACGGGATGGAAAAGTTCTGGAGGCCCAACAGAGGTGAGCCTTTTTTTTTTTCCTCTATGTATTGTCAGTTTTTTTTTTTTAACAAATTCTCAAAATAATGTTAAAAAATTTCAAGCGTTAAGTAAAAACGACAAAATTTTACAAATACATACAGAAAGACCAAATAGGATTTGAAAACAAGTTTTGACAAGGAGAAAGTAGAAGTGGGTTATATAAAAGTTTTGAGAACTCGGACAAGTGACACACACACTGTCAGCGTTTTTAGTATATTTTCTAAACCAAATAAAAATGAGAACTGTTGTGGAGATTTATATTTTTCTCAGGCTTACACCTACTGTATTTTCCGGCATATAAGTGTTTTTTGCATAGATTTGTCAGTCCTGCGACTTATGTATGATTTTTTTTCCCCCCATATTTATAACTCAACTTTTGACTGAGGCTTTAAATTTCGAAGCACTGCAACAGCGAGTCTTTCCCGTGTGCGCTCGCTCCACTCGGTGCAGGCGGAGGAACGCTGGGAAGCTAGCGGCTCCGTACGCGACGGCGCCCCGCCACCCAGGCAAAATATACCTGTTTTGACCATTAAATAAACGCGATGGGTCAGCAGTGACGCACGATAAAGGCGACATGTTTTTTCCTCTTAATGATGTTTTTGTTAACTGATGCAGTTTATTATCCGGAGCGACATATACACCGGAAAATACGGTAATTAACTCGTTTTTCTTGTTCCAGTCTTCAGCCTCCAAGACCTGTGCTGCCGTTCCATCGTCTCCTGCACACCAGTGCACCTCATCGACAAGCTGCCGCTTCCTGTTGCCATCAAATCGCACCTGAAGTCTTTCTCGATGGCCAACGGCATGAACGCCGTCATGATGCACGGACGCTCGCACTTTGTGATCAACAGCACAGCTTCTGGCAGCGGCAGTGGCGGAAGCAAAGCCAGCAGTCTCAAACGCTCCATGTCCTTCAGGCCTCCGCAGAGTCCTCCAAAGTACTCGTCGTCGTCCAAGGGGAACTGTAAAATATCGTAGTGAAGGAGCGGATCAGTCCTTGCCTCTGTGGTGCCGACGTTCAAGATGTTTTCCTCAGAGATCACAGGGCTAAGAGCATGGAGAGCGCCCAGCTGTCAGAAATGAAAATAGATGTTTCCTCTGATCTTTAGAAGCGGACATGGACAGAGGGATTGGGTTCTGTTCACTTTGTGCTTGCTGGTGCCTCTTGTGGGTGTTCGTTTAGCTGTTGTCTATAATCCAGAGGCTCGCTGTGATCAAGACTTCCCTGGGACCAACTAATGTGAACTAAGGATTATCACTTACTTCTTAACACTACAGAGATGATTTACTTTTATTGAAAAACAAATATGGTTGGGTGGTATTTAAAGCTGGACTTGAAACTGAACATATACGGACTGTGGAGGAGCACCTGGATGTTTTGATGGGTGTTCTGGGCGTTTTGTATGATACAGTATCCCATTTGCAAGCTCAGATGTTCTGCACTGTTTATTCAAAACTCAAACTATCTTAGTAAAGTTACAGAATAGGTTTGAAGCCGGCTAATCGAGCTTTCCAGACTCAAGAATTTAGGAGCTGTCCTTTTGAAAATCAGTTTTTGGGCAAATCAAAAAGTTTTGTTGTGCCCGGGCCCCCTTTGTTTCATTCATATGCACACACTTGCTGTTCTTTTATACCTCGAAATCTTGTTTCTGGTGTAACTATAAGTGGATTTGAACTCGGCGGCATGCTTTGGTTTGGTCCCAAGTTGTGAAAGATCAATATTGATGAGGAAAATTTTTTGTACAAATCAATGTACAGATCATTTGGTCTTTTACAGCGTGTTTGCCTTTAAAGTTAGCCTCGTTATGATTTTGTAAATTTGCAGGAATTTGAGGTATTTTATGTTCACGCTACGTATTTATGAATGTAAAACAGTATTCAACCGCGTATTTTCTGCAGCCACGTGAGGGATTGTGAGTTGGAAAGCTATGGGCTACATAAGATGCTATTCATCACCAGTGCTTGTTTGTTCTGCTGCTCAGTTTATTTCCCAGCATTCCTAAATGTGTTGAATAGTGGGGGGTTAAACCGTCGTGGTTCGTTTATTGTACAAGAGGTATTATAGATGCAACGGAACGAGCATATCAGAACATTATGTTAAAGCTACTTATTGCAAAGTGTAAAACTAAAGGTAAAAATTATAATGAATTGTATCACATGAAGCAGTTTGAAAGCGTTTACTCATTTTCCGAATGTTTGAAATGTGGGTCTGCGCTCAATGTAAACAAAACCTGGTTCAAACCACGTGGACGCTTCATGTGACCCAGCTACATTAGGCTGGCAAGACTTCATGACTTTGCAACAAGTATCTTTTAATCTAAACTAATTATATTCTCATTAAAAAAGCTGACTAAGTGACATTGTTATGATATAAAGGATCACCCCCACCCCCCACACCTTCGGGGTGTAAAAAGGTCACCCAGGGTGTTTCTGCATGTTTTAATGGCGCCTGTTATCTGTTGGGTGTTGAGACCAGAACTTGCGGATCACCAGAATATTTTAAAGCACTGTATGTAAACATTTGGTTGCTGGTGAAGGTAAGACCCAACATGAACGTTTTGTTTCCATGGAAACCTTTAAAATAAATAAAGAGTACACTGCCTGTTGCATCACTATTATCATTTAGGCATTCTTCGGGAATTATGGGAATATACCCCCCCCCCCCCCCAGCTGCTAGTGCTCAAGTGCATTAAAACCCGTGGGAGGAGGGACATGATATGTGTGTGTGTGTGTGTGGGGGGGGGGGGGTTGAATTGATTAGTTGCTCCCTCGGTATTGGCCAGTTTTTGGATAACGGGCTGCAGCGCGTGAATGCGCCGCGGTCAGAAGTCACGGGAAGGTTGCAGGGGTCACCGCCAATGAAAGGATGGAGGGGGAGGGGGGCAGCTTCACTTCCAAGCCCTGCCTGAAATATGACTCGCACTGTTCAAAATATGCCGCTTTCCCTTCTTCCCACCTGACCGCCGGGAAGTTGACCCCCTTGTCTAGACGAGAGGGGCGCGCGCGGTGCGTTCAGGGAGACGTGATGCGACACGCCTCGTGTCCAGCGCCGCGGGGACCTTTTGCTGGCTTTGTGCAAGAAAACCAGTGTATGCAACCATCTGGACTCGTGCACGAGAACTTTAAAAATCCATAAATAATAAAAAAAAAAACGCGTCTGAAGCGCATTCATGGACATATTCCTACTTCCGTGCGCGCGGCTGCTCACGCTGCTTTTGATGTTTTTACAATGTTTGTCCAGTTGTGCAGCTCCTGGTGTCGATTCATAAAAGTTTCAGACACTAGCAGAGCGAGAGGGTGGGGGGTCCCCCCCCTCCATTCACACTTCCCAGAAAGGCTCCTGTTGCGTCTTCCTCCCTCATTGTGCAGCAGTTCGCTTCCATCGCGCGCGTTCGGACAACTCCTCCAAGCTGCACACACAACTGATCATCCTCTGCAGAGCCAAGAGGGATGGAATTACTCGCTTTGCGTCTCATTCTAAACAACAACAATGTGTGAAACCCCTCTGCGTCTCCACGAAGACAAACGCTTGGTTTGGCACGACGCAGCCTGCCCGAACAAGCCGCTGACAGGATGGACGCACGCGTGTGTCCTGGTGCTCCTGGCGTGCGACTTTCTGGAGTTTTCTTTGTGCGCGAGTGTGGCAGGATCCAGAGTGGAACACGAAGGGTTCTGCCCCAACATGCTGAACTCGAACCTTTGGGTCGATGCGCAGAGCACCTGCGAGAGGGACTGCAACGTGGATGAGGTGAGATCATCTAAAACCAACAGCCATGACGAAACTTTGGTACAGGGTGGGGCCATTTAAAACTCTACCCCATGTATGAAAACCAAACTAGCGTGAAGAGTTTACTCAAGTAGTTTTGAAATGCAGGTCCACACTCAATGTAAACAAAGCATCATATGGCTGACTTCTCCAAACACCCGCTTAGTGAAGATCTTAAGGTGGAAATATCAGTGAATCTGCTATTTAGCAAGAAAGAAATGACTGAAATATCAAGGATCATGTGCCATAAATATATAGCACCAAACACAAATGGCTTCTGCTAAACTTTTTTTTTGGACTAGAATGTTTAATTTGTCACATTTTCAGCTGAAGGTAAACAAAAACCTGAATTTGTCTTACAAACTTTTAAGGGCATAAATCATTGGTGGAGGAAAATTGTGTGCAGATTGAGTTTATTAGTTCCTGATTTTTTATTTTTGGTCCAGTCTTCATGACTTTGAAATTAGTACCTTTAAGTTATCAAACCTTATCTTGAGGTGGACGCTAACTAAAATGTTCAATTGTCAAACGGTACTCCATGTAAATGATGCAGACCCCTTCATATCCAGTCTGGTCCTGAAGTCTAGGTCAAGAGTTTTATCTGTCTAATTTTAGTGACCGTGTTCTAAACACCAAGTATTTGGTTCTAAAATACACAAAAAGTTGTGATGTCTTGTGCAAGCCCCTTTGTTCTTAGTCATTGTGTTTTCATAAACTTAAATTCTTTTCATCCCTTAATTTTGGAATATTGGAAATAAACCATCAATTAAAAGTGCAGGAAAAGATCAAGTTAAATTGGAAGCAAGTAGTTGCCTTCAAACCATCATGGACTGTGTTTGCAGAAGCCATTGTGATCTGTGGTGTGAACAGGGAACAGGTGGAAGAGAACTTGGAGAGGTGGATCTAACAAAGATAAGTCAGGTACTAGAGGACCTGACTTATCTTTGTTAGATTTTTCTACCTGGATTATTGAGCATGCATCAGGATATTTAGAGAGGTGGAGGTATCCAAATGATACTACACTTAATCTTAGCCAAAAGGCTGAGAAGCGATTAGAGGTATGCACTTGAAAGAAGAGGAATGAAAGTCAGCCGTAGTAAGACGGAGTACACGTGTGTAAATGAGAGGGAGGCCGGTGGAACAGTGAGGCTACAAGGAGCAGAGGTCACAAAGGTGCAGGACTTCAAGTACTTGGGGTCCACTGTCCAGGAAAATGGGGAATGTGGTAAAGAGGTGAAGAAGAGAGTCCAGTCAGGATGGAGTGGATGGAGAAAAGTTTCAGGAGTGATTTGTGACAAAATGGTGTCAGCATGATCAAAGGAAAAGTTTACAAGACAGTTAAGACCAGCTGTTGTATGGTCTGGCAGTGGCTTTGACAAAAAGACAGAGAAAGAACTGGAAGTGGCAGAAATGAAGATGTTGAGGTTCTCCTTAGGAGTGACAAGGATGGATAAGATTAGGAATGAGATCATCAGTGGTACAGCACAGGTTGAACAACTGGGAGATAAAGTTAGAAAGGACAGACTGAGATGGTTTGGACATGTCCAGAGGAGGGACAGTGGGTATAATGACAGAGGGATGCTAGAAATGCAATTGCCAGGAAAAAGACAAAGAGGAGATATGGATGCAGTTAGAGGACATGGAGGTAGTTGAGTGAGGACAGAGTTAGATGGAGAAGGATGACTCGCTGAGGAGGGAAAAGTCGATAGAAGAGGTTACCTCAAAAAAACATTGCTCTAGGGTTGGGGCTAGAACTGATGGTTCAGAGACTAAATGCACCCCCAGCATCTAAACTTTGGCTCATTTTCTTTTCTTCTTGTATTAAACTGTTGGTTGAATTTTGCTTTTTGTTCAGGACTGTGCTGATTTTGAGAAATGCTGCACTAATGTGTGTGGCCTCAACAGCTGCGTCGCTGCTCGTTTTTCTGATGGTACCCCTGCTCAGCCGGATGGAACCAGTGGCGGGAATGGAGATACATCCCCTGCCTCTACGGCGACCTGTGAGGGCTTCATCTGCAGCCAGCAAGGAGCGACCTGTGACATCTGGGATGGACAACCTGTGTGCAAGTGCCAGGACCGATGTGAGAAAGAGCCCAACTTCACCTGCGCGTCAGATGGCCTCACCTACTTCAACCGGTGCTACATGGATGCAGAAGCCTGCATCCGTGGGGTGATTTTAACTGTGACTCCATGTCGCTTCTACCTCGCCGGTCCCCATACAAGTCCAATCCCTCAGGACACAACTGTTAATCCCACCCCAACAATCTCTAAGGAGGATCCCATGCCCCCTACGCTGTATTCCAACCCCCACCACCAATCCATCTATGTTGGAGGCACAGTCAACTTCCACTGTGACGTCATTGGAGTCCCCAGACCTGATGTCACATGGGAGAAACAAAGTGATCGGCGTGAACGGCTAGTTATGAAGCCCGACCAGATGTATGGCAACGTGGTTATAACAAACATTGGACAACTCGTCGTTTATAATGCCCAGGTGTGGGACACGGGCATATACACATGCATCGCAAGGAATTCTGTCGGAGTGCTTCGTGCGGACTATCCTTTGTCTGTTATTCGCCGAGCAGACGATGACTTCTCTGAAGATCCTGAGATGCCAATGGGGCGTCCATTTTCCCCCGCAGACTGCCTGACTGAAGTCGACCTGAGAGTCTGCAGCGGAGAACGACACGTCGACTGGTTTTATGATGGCAAGCTGGGCTCCTGCATGACCTTCAACAATGGTGGCTGTGATGACAGTCGCAACCGTTTTGAGACGTATGAAGAGTGCAAAGCATCCTGCCAGAGAGAGGGGATGGGGATCTGCTCCCTGCCAGCGGTTCAGGGTCCCTGCAAAAACTGGGAGGCACGTTGGGCCTGGAATTCGTTAATGAAGCAGTGCCAGGCCTTTGCTTTTGGTGGATGCCACGGGAACGACAACAACTTCCACACCAAGAAGGAGTGCGAAGCAAACTGTCCACAACCTAAACGGAGGCCATGCAGGACTTGTCGGATGAGGGGGAAAATGATGCCCAGCTTGTGCCGCAGCGACTTTGCCATCGTCGGGCGGCTGATGGAGCTTGTTGAGGATCTGGACTCTGGCTTAGCTCGCTTTAGCTTGGAAGAAGTCCTGAGGGATGAAAAGATGGGCCTGACTTTCTTCAGTACCAAACACCTGGAGGTGACCATCACCAAGATTGACTGGAGCTGTCCCTGCCCCAACATCACCATTGAGGAAAACCCTCTGTTGGTGATGGGAACGGTGCAGGACGGCATGGCCATCATCCAGTCAGACAGCTACGTCAAAGCCATAACTGAACGCAGACTCAAAAAGCTGCGGGATGCTATAAATAAAAAGTCGTGTGAGACGATGTAAAAGGACGGACTTTTTGGCACAAAGAAGCTGATGTCAAACATCATTTTACAAAACATTCTTGAAAACAGCATTTTAATATTCTCAAGTGTACGGCACTCAACTTTTATTACATTCTAGATGCGAACTCATTTGGAAAGGTTTTATTAACTTTAAATAACGTCTTGATATACGCGTACATGTTTTTTGTATTGTGAGAAAAGAACAGCTAGAGTAACAGCTAAACAAGCTGGTTATGTTCCATGTTTTCTTGTGACACTTAGGTTTTTTTGTCATTGCATTTTCTTTACTCTAGCTATCTACATGTGTCTATTTATGTTTTATGTATTGTATTATTATTAACCACGTCTTGAAATCACTTCTGCTGAGTAATTTCATTATTTAAAATAAAGAATAACATACAGATGGTTGTCTTGGGCCTAATAAAATACACAGGTAAGATGTTTGGAAGTCTAACTCAACCGTGCAAAACAAAACGAACGGTCATAGAGAAAAACAATTCAGATTAAAACAATATCAATGTGCGTTTAATTACAGCGCTAACGTGATTCATTTATGATTTTAAAAACATGGAGCCACGTATCTGTGCTTAAAGTTGAATATAAGGCGGTTAGATCTCGCGGCTCCAAATCTGGTCTTCATGCTGAGATTTACCATCAGGAGACCTCACACCAAACTCTCCTTCCTGAACAGGATGCATTTGTTGTTTGCTGGCATATCCACCTAGAACAAAATACTTATCACCCACCTGCAAAGACTATATTAAATTTGCTTTCAATAAAATTTGGGTTGGGTTCTCATATACGATGGAGTATTAGGACCACGCTAAGGGAAAAAAAAAAATTACATTATGAACGAGAATAAAGTCATAGTATTAAAAAATTAAAGTCATACGACAATAATGTCATATTATTACGAGAATAAAATTGTAGTATTATGAGAATATTCATAATATTAAAGAGAATAAAGTCGTACAAGAATAATTTCAAGCTATTATGAGAATAAACTCGTAATATTACGAGAATAAAGTTGAAATAACACAAGAATAAAATCATAATATTACGAGAATAAAGATGTAATATGAGAATAAACTCGTTATATTATGATAATAATCTCAAAATATCACAAGAATAAACTCGTAATATTACAATAATAAAGTTGAACTAACACAAGAATAAAGTCACAATATTATGAGAATAAACTCGTAATATTCTCAGAACTCTGACACGAAAAATTAAGTCTTGCACTAAAATGATGAATGTTGACGTCAGCAGTACAATAGAAGTGGGGCCCTGTGCACTGTTGCATATGGATTCTTATGATAAACTGGCTGCATTGCATTTAGACGTGACATAATGTGGATGGAGGCATATTTCACAGTGACCCAAAAGTGATCGTGGACTACTTCATAAACACAGTGACTCGCATTGGAGGCTGTCCACAGCAGGTGTGAGCCGACCCAGGACAGGATGTATTACGACTTTATTCATGTAATAATTCTCATAATATTAGGACTTTATTCTCGTAATATTATTACTTTATCTTGTATTTCACCTATATTCTCATATTTTGACTTTAATCTTGTAATACAGTATTATGACTTTATTCTAGTAATATTTTGACTTTATTCTTAATATTTTGACTTTATCCTCGTAATATTATGACTTTATTCTCGTAATATTATGACTTTATTCTTGTAATATTTCAACATTATTCTTAATATTTTGACTTTATTCTCGTAATATTATGACTATTTTCCTAATATTATGACTATCCTCATAATATTTTAACTTTATTCTCATAATATTATGACTATTCTCATAATACAACTTTATTCTTGTAATGTTACGACTTTATTCTCATAATTTTAAGACTTTTTTTCTCGTATTTTTTTTTTTCTTAGCGTGGCCCTAATACTCTGTCGTACTCATATGAGCTGAATACTTACTATTTTTTCCATGAACAAACCATTTTTTTGTGCTAAGGAGCTGAGAAACGAGATATCCTTGAGGCCCCACTCTGGGTTCCTGGAAGACAAAATGTCAATTTAAGAATGTATTCGTTCATTTTTTTTAAAATCTCATTTATCTTTAAAATGCAAACATTGAGCAGGTATTGTTGTGATATGAAACAGATGCTTCTGTGGGGGTCATGTATTTTCACAGGACTATCACCACCCTCCCCTCCCAACTTTAGGAGAAATAAACCAAAGAGTGCCTTGCCTCTGCCGTAGACTGAAGTCGAAGTCAACGTTACTCTGAGGGGTGATGTGACCATTCACTGCATATGGCTGAAAGAGAACACCATATAGTGGTAATTATAACATTTTTAATGTTGATGTTAAATAACAGCACAAAATGTTTGTCACTTACCCCGTATGTCACAAGAAGACCTTGTGGCTTCAACAGCACCGCAGCTCCTTTGAATAAACCCTTAATGGAAAAATAGGCTGGAGTCATGTCGCATGCAGTGAGGGTTTAATTATAAAATCTTTCTGTTCATAGTCTCTCTTATAGATTAAAAAACAGATTCTAAAAAGCCTCAGACCGTTATGATTGGAGTTATGCATCTTGAGAATGTAAAAATACTCTGACATGGCTTTAATTTCCTCAGCAGACATTTTGACTTCCAAAGAGCAGGGAAAGGACGTGTGCATTGATGAGAGCACAACTAGCATGCACATCTGCAGAAGTGGAAAGCAGACCTCGTTAATACACCAGGGTATTCCCTACTTGGCCTGCTGCGATCAAGGCCGGTTCCTCTTTATGTGCCTTGAACACCGGAATAAGTCAATACATGAGTGAAGCCAAACCAGGTGAGTTTGTTTGAGATATATAATATTTATCAGATAAATTAAAATGTTCTTAAACAACAAAACCTACTTAAATCGTCATGCTTCTGTTGCTACTCTCACAGGGTCTGCCCGCTTGTTTATGAGAATACTAATTATTGATTTAAAGAGTATTGGGAAGCTGGTATTTAAGCTGTTATAAGACTATGTTTCAGCAATAATCTCAAAATTATTCATGTTAAAGAAATATTGCTACAGAAAATACAGTGATGAATATCTGTAAAAAAAGCCGTTAAGGCTTTCCAGCATAACTTGAAAGCAAATTTCCCTGTTTTCCCTGAGTAAATCCTGACATTCCAGGAGATATTTCAGTCAAACAAAACGCTCAGAACTAGAGTAGTACACTGTAACGTATGGTACATGGCAATTATTCCTAATAATTAATTACGTATACTGTGTAGTATAACATGAGATACTAAAAAGCCACTATAGCCAATCAGGAATGATACATATGCACACTGTAGAAGCAGGACATGACTCAATGAAACTAGAATAATACATGCATTTATTTTATTAACCTTTATTTAACCAGGCCAATCCCACGGAGATCACAGATCTCTTGTTTTGCAAGGGAGGCCTGGGTCTGAAGGCGGTCTAACGTGCATGAGTTCCTGGAGAAAAACTACGCAAACACAAGAAAAATATGTAAACCCCATGCAGAAAGACCCCCAGGTCCAAAGCAGGGATTGAACTCAGGGACCTTCTTGCTGTGACGCATCAGTGCTAAATACGTGCTTCCACAATGTCAGAAAGATCATTTTCTAACCAGTAGATGAGTGTTCACATTCCCTGAGTTTTCCTGGATTGTTGTGAACATGTGAAAGTCATTTTCAAAGTTGTCTTTGCCGACAAAACAAACAAACCCCTAAATACCCCATTTAAAGGGTGGGATCAGGGATGTTTAACTGGAGTGGTGAAATGTGCTTACTGGGCATAATTTGCTGGCTCCTATTAAATAAAACTCTGGATTTACCTTATTATTATTAGCTAATGAATTCCGAAGTTTTCTATAATGTTTTATTTGCAAACTTATATGCCATTTTCATGGAGTTTAGCTTTTGTTTGGGTGATACTCGGTGCAAATATCTACAACTATACAAAATAAGAGACCAGAGTTTTCAGGGTGCTGGTTTTGTTGTTAAAGAAAAGCTCGGCTTCACGTGAAACCTGAACAATCTGCATTCTAGAGATGCACAAAGGTAAATATTTCTGTAGTGATGGGAACGGCAGTTCTTTCGAGTGCACTGAATCCCAAGAATCAGTTCGTTAAAAATGATTCGTTCATTTGAACGAATCGTTCGTGAACGACAGATCACTAGTTCTACCTCTGTACAAGCCATAGGAGAAATATGGATCATGTTGATGTTGAGCACCAGGTCCAGGCTCTCTGGTTGAGTCCCTCCCCAGTACTGATGGGGTTGAGAAGCATCCAGGTGGATGGCAGGCTTCACATTGTTCAGCTTGTGGTGAGCTCTGTACGCTTCTATACTGAGAATGGACACAAAAGACACCATTGTTATCTCCGGCTCACTAAAACAAAGCGCACATGACCAGCGGCATAAAAAGTAAACATGTTTAAAAGGCCAATCTTTTCCTCTTCATAATGAAGGCATAAATAAAAATATCGAACTTTACATGACCAAAAATGAGCTTCGTGAATTGTTTACCTGGCCAGAGAATGGCGGTCATACTCTGAGGGTTGCCAGGTGATGTTCCGCAGGGCTTGTGCGAAGTGAACGACGTGCTGGCCGGTCCCGGAGGACACCTCCAGAGCCAGCAGAGGTCTGTCGGTGTTCACATGGTCCCGGAGCACCGCCAGGATGGGCTCCTTGTTCCTCTCTGCCGCGGCGGCGTTCAGCATCGTGCCAAGGCCCGAGTTCAGCCGTCGAGTTACACGGAATAATTGATGGAACCACTCCAGCTAGCTCGGCTTTAGACCACTCTGAGCTGAAACAACGGACACGAGCGCTTTTTTTTTAATAGTATAAATGAGCCGACTTCCGCGTTACGTCACGTGTCTGGCCTTAGAGCCAATCAGAACACAGGGCGGGCACAAAGAACAAAAAACATAAAAATAGATATTTATTCCAAAAATAAACTTTATATTTTGTGGTTTTGAGCCAGAATAACATACATTTGTTTCCTCACTACACTCCCCCGTTTGTTTGGAAAACGTAAAACTATTTTAATACAAACTGAATCTTTCCTAGACATTTATGCAAATATTAATAAGTCTCTAGTTAAAAATAATACTATTAGGTAAATTAAGATTGAGTCAAATTAGTCTTTAATATTCGTCAACATCTAATTGATTTAATTCAATGTATAAACTGAGCACAACCAACATATTTGGATTTCATTTGATTGCATGATTTTAAGAGTTGTGGATTATTTTTTATTATCAAAATAAAGTTCTCGAGTATAAGCAGAGTGTCTGGTTGTGACCACATCAGCCCAGAAATCTCACAAGACAAGTGTATCTTTATGATTTGCTTTCCTTCGAATCTGAGATACTTGAAATTACTGATGCTTGTTGAACTTATTTATCATCGAAGAAAATTTAGTGGATGTTCTCATTTCCTTCTTACTTTTTTTATGTATTTACAAACACATTTTATGTTCTTGTTGTTTACTTGGCCAAATGGTTTACCTGTTGGAAACCTGTAAATATTAATGTTTTGTGATATGTTGACTAAAGTTTCTGTTTTACATGTATACATTGAAAAAAAAAAACAACAACAAAAAAAAAACATTTTACATAAACTATTTGTTTATTATGGGAAAATAGCATTCAGGTATATATTCTATCTCACAAGATGCACATTTTCTCACAAATAAGCATAAAATGTAATAACTTAAGGATTTAATGTGAGTAAAAAAAGAGGTGTGCATTAATCAAAATTGAGGGACCAAGTTTGGAAAACACAAACAACAAAAACGTGGTGGTCAAACTGGCAAAGCAATGGTGGGCAAAGTATTCACTAGCATAGAGGATATCACTACTTCAGTTAAATATTTTAATCTTTTTTAGGAGAGCCAGAATGGACACGCACCACAGAGGCTGAGTAATATCCATTGACAAACTAAAACTACTAGAACAGAATGACACACCACAAATAAACTAAACATATTTTTAAAATAAACATACCTCTAAAATAACTTTACAATCAGGTAGTCTGCAGGGAACAGCGTAAACACATAGGTCACGTTAAGGTGTGCTCGTATCGATGTGATTAAAACCGTTTTATTTACACAGCGCATATGACGTCTGCCTCTATGCGACTGTAGGAGTCTTTCCAGTAAACCCAGCTGCACGCTCCTCAGCTTGACTTTGCTCATTTTCAGAGGTAAGCAGCCTTTGTGGCGTCTTCTCAGCAGATTCTTCGCTGTCGACGAGCGCGCTTTGCACCCGCGATGGATTTGGAGAGAGAAACGTCTGACCGACGTCCAGGACGTCTAGGCTAGTCGTCGCAGCGACCTCAGAATCGCTGAAGATCGTGTTTGAGAAAACAGAGTTAAAAGTGAACATGGAGCCAAGAAGCGACTCCTGCACTGGAGATTTGTGGCGCTTTGTGAGAACAACGGCAGGATCTCTTGGAGGTTTAGCGGGAGGGACGAGCTCCGGCTCGCTGCTCTTAGAGCCTCGTTCCTGACTCAGATCCGGTGTTTCTTCTTGTGCATCGTTCTCCTCAGAAACCCGAGCAGGCTCGGTCTTAATGGTCCCTCTGCAGTCGCTGCTGACGCTGAAGCGTCGAGACGAGCCCTCTGCTGTGGAAATGACGCTGCTGGAACGGGGCAGGCCTTTCGGGGACCTGAACTCGTTCAGTTGCCCTTCTTTTATGAGAGGGGTGGAGAAGCAGTTGAGGCAGCCAGACATGGAGGAGGATTTCCCCTGAACATACAGCACTGTGATTGGGGAATAGGCAGAAGCTCGAGTGGTTTCATTTTTTAGGGTTATCCCATTAAGCTCTGAGTTGATTTTGCTAACACCTCCTGTGTCTGATGAGCGGCGTGTCACCTTGCCTTTTGCCCTACGGATGGTTTTAGTACCTCTTGTGAGCCAGAAGTCTTGAGCCAACACAACATCTTTCTCTTTTTGTACAGGCTGGGTATCTGAGCTCTGGATGTGGGCAGCTGTCCCAGCAGAAGTTTTCTCTTTGTGCTGCAGCTGTGTATGCCGTTGGGGGGTGGATGCATCACTAGGTGGCTGCAGGGTGGAGGAGTTGTGAGATGGGGGCTTTTGGACAGGACTGCTGCCGTTGGACCACGGCTCATTTTCCAAGCTCAAGCTAAGCTCACCGCTGCTCTCACTTTGGGCTCGACTATGGACTGCATCCAGCCCTGGAAAGAAATTAGAATCACATTTAAAAAAAATCTATAACACAAAATATTCAAAATTCTAAGCTGTGTAAAATATAAATGAGAAATGTAGAACAGAATGTAATGAACTGAAATTCCATCAACACACATCTTATTAACGATTAAATATGGTTAGCTTAAACAGCTGCTAGAGTTCTTGGAGGGGAACCTCGTCCCATTCTTATCTGAAAGATCTTTGCTCAATTTGTTGCAAGATGGGAGTATGTTGTCTGAAACCTGCATGTGCATTTCTGCATCGGTAGAGCCTTTCCAGATGTGGAAGCTGCCCATAATAGTGTGACAAATTTTAAAATTAGGATGATAATATGAACTGTAGATGATGGGACATTCAAAATATTCCCAATTCTCCACTGAGGAACATTATTTTAAAGTTGTACTTCTATTTTTAGCTGCAGTCTTTTGCAGATGGGTGAGCCCCAGCCCATCTTTACTTCTAAGAGATTCGACCACTTTAAAATGCTCTTTTTTATATTCGGTCCTCTTACTGACCTGTTTCCTGTTAGCCCAGTGTATCTGCCCGCTGTTCATTCATACCACCACTTACTTTTACAACCTTTTGTTGCCCCTCTTCCAACTTTTCTGGGAAGTGTTACTGTCATAACATTCAACATTTCTTAATTTCAACATTTGATATATTTACTATATTCCACTGTAAATAAAATATTGTTATAGAGATGCACCGATCCTATAGCAGTATCGTTATCAAAAAATTCTCGATCGTGTATTGGTAGAGATGCACAGATCTGATATTAGTATCAATGTTGGTACAGGTATTGAAAAATTCTAGATCGGGTATCACTGACAACGTGACGATCCATCAGGACAGGAGCTGATTGCTGTTTATTTATCTGCCAACCAAGCTAGTGAACCTATTGTTTTCTTCATCTTATTTTAGCTCCTTTATTATTTATTTGACATTATATGAAGAATTCCTGAACCATTTGAAAGGTTTGTTGAAGTTTCTTTTTTTCACGTTTAACCAAAGTTGTCAACTTATTGTTTTTGTCACTTTCAGTATCTTTATTATTATTTATTTTACATTGGATGTTATACTCACAATTGCACCGACTGAACAAATTTTGTGTGTTTAATAAGTTTGCTGTACTGATGCAGAACTTTCAATAAATTTGTAATTCAGTACATTTACATCTGTGTTTAAAAAACAAATGTTTTAAGTTAAATCAACACTGTTTTTCTGTAACATATCGGTATCAATCTCAAGTATCGTATCGGAAGTGAAAAAAAGTGGATCCGTGCATCTCTAATTATATAAATCATTAAATTTTATTTTCTAAAACATCTTTTAGCTGTATCATATTTCTTATGGCCAACAGGGAGCAGCAGAGTCGTCTTCCTGAACCAGTTGCTGGCCTCTGTGAGCAGCCAAGAGATTAATTTAAAAATAAGGTCATGATTGCAGTTTGACGGGTTGACCCTAATTCCTGAGCTGGCTACACATCTGCATGCCGACTGAATCCTCTAAACAAATGTCCAGAAGGATTTACCGTGATTCTGCAGCTCGTCGCCGTCCTCGCATCCAGATGGGACAGTGCCAACATTCGAATCTTTGTCTGCAAGGCATAAAATGAGAAATCACTTCTGTAGATATAAAGTGGCTGACAGTATAACTGCTTAACAAAAAAGCATGCCCGGGTTGTTATAGTTTTTCCAACGTATTCTACTTTGGCATTGATGAGAATGAATGGAAATGGACGAGTGGTGTTTGAATTGCCTCTACCTGTCACCCACAGCGCAGAAACATCTGGAGCAGTGTCAGTGATGGAGCTGTTGAAATGTTTGGATGGCAGAGCGGTGGGATGGTGAAGGAGGGATAAAATGGAGGTAGTGAAGGATGAGGTCAGCCGGTCTTCCTCCACGTCGGCCTCTGACCCTTCCTGCTTTGCCTCAGATGAGGCTGAAGGGTGGGATAAGCTGCTCAAGGCTACGTTGATGGTGAAAGGAATGGAAGAAGTGGATGGGGGGTGGGGGTGGGGGTGGGGGGGGATAGACAGGTGAAACGGCCAAGAAGATTACGAGGAATCCATTGTTTTCCTTTAATTTTGGGCAGCACAGATTTATACTCTGAAACTGTGGATTCCCCGGACTGCAGTGAGCTTCTGGCGGGGCGAAGCTCACGCAGCATCAGTGTTTTCCTGCAATGCAGCATTCTTCTTCTCAGCTGTTCTAATAATACATCAGGGATCTGCTTTAAAACAGCAGAAACACAAAACGCTTAAAGCTTGAACGCTGTTGAAAATAACTCGTCCTGATTGGGTCAAGTTTGATGAAATGTTGGCTTTGATGAACTCACTAGGATCGTTGACAACAATGCATGTTAAGCTGGTGTTTTGACAGCATCACAGCTGAGAAAGCAGGATAAAGCACAGGCAACGCAGAAATGTGTGCAGTGAGCATAACAGACAAGGTAGCAGTGACAACAGAAGCAGATACGAGGATCAAAGTCTTTCTTACACATGGAACGACGGAAGAGGAACTTGACTTTGTCTCTGTTCTTTAGCCTGCTTCTCAAACGGGGAAACTTTTTCAAGGGGGCTTTTTGTGGCAAAGTGTGACCACGAGACGCAGACATATGGTGATGGGAGGGCAGGAAGAAACAAGGGGAAAAGGGAATCCAACGGTGAAGAGAGTAGAGAATAAATACAAATGGACAAGAGACACAGGGAAGATAAACAAAGAGACACACTGGATGAGTTTTTGGACATGAGATGTAATATTTACTTGATTTAACAGGATGAAAAAAACGATCAGTCAAGAAATCCTAATGAATTATTATCACCTGAAACCAAAAGGCGAAGGCTGGCGGTGTTTGACTTTTAGCAAATGATCTTGTATCACTGCACAGATTTTAATAAAACTTGTAGAAATCTTTGGATGTACCTCTACAACTGAATAACTTTTACAGTTAACTTGATTCAAGATGGCTGTGAATTGACTGCGGCTGTGGTTGAAGATGAAACGACAGCTGACTCACTGATGCCTCCCTGGATCAGACACGAGCAAACGTCTGAATCATCTGCTCGTGACAGATGACCTCATGAGTTTCAGAAGGTCATACTCACTGCTGTGACGCAGCTGCGACGTGGCTTCACCTGCTAAGGTGGAGGCCGAGCCTCCGGATCCGTCCAAGCTAATGAAGGAGCCGAGGTCCTGAGAGGCAAACTGGGGCTCGGCGGCAGCTGGGTTTGAAGTTTCCGATGCGTGCTCACGGCTGCTGGATTTGATTAGCTTCTTGAATTTCAGAGCAATCCAGTTTCCACGTCTGTGAGCAAATTCAGGAAGAATGAAAAACAATATAAACATAACCGGCCAACTTGGCAAATGAAAATAAAGAGGGCTGATATTCAGGTTTGAAATAAAAATATTATTGCTAAGAATAAATATTCCTTTTTATATAGAAGAGGATTGGGGTAGTCAGAATTTATATTGTTTAAAATACAGTCTTTTCTGAGAATTCTGACTTTAATATCAGAATTTTTACTTTTTTACTCAGAATTTTGAGATTAAAACCAAAATCTTGACTTTTTTCTCACAATATCTGAATTCTGAGATTAAAATCAGAATTATGACTAACTTCAGAATTCTGAAAAAAAAAAATAAAAAAAATAAAATCACTGTGGCACTAATCCTCTTCCACACTTTTAAAGCTGAAATTTTATACACATATTACAAAACTGACAACTACCCATAAAAATATTATTGCTAAGAATAAATACTGCTCTTTTATATGAATATATATTTATTTCATGGGACATTTAATTAATTACTTGTATGTTTAATGATTTAACGATGTATTGAATAATTAAATGACACGTGATGTCTTTATTTATTTAATTTTGTCACATTCCACCCTTCACACATATTTTTGGAGTTCTTCTTTTTTTTTTAAAAAGTACAACTTTACCGTTCAGGCGTTTTGGTTTTGAATGGACAATTTAAACTTAGAATTTATTGTCTGTAAAAAAGAAGAGGATGACACTGTGACAGGTTACACACCTGCGAGGAGGTGAAGGTTCATAAAACTTGTACTGGTCCATGATCTTTTCCTCCAGCTTCTCCTTCTGCCTCCTCAAATCGTTCAGTTTGTCACTGAACAAACACAGAAAGAAATGTTCATAATATTAGGTTATTTGTTAAAACCTGTGGAATTTATGTGTCTGTTCATTTTTAATATTGTAGGAAGGCTTCAAACAACAAACATAAATATCTTAGTTTTAGTGTTTGGGAAAATTTTGGCCAACTGTCAATGCATTGTTTTAAAAAAAAAGATCGAAACAGATAAAAAAAAAAAAAATTAAACCAGAGACTTTTGGTACATTTTTTGTAAAACTTGTTCATTTCATTGTTATAGTTTTTTGTTATTATTATTTTTTTTAACATAGAATAATTATTGAACTCTATCCCTTTTGATTGGCAGGTTTAAAGAGGAACAAAAGTGTTCATTATAAACCTAAATGTACTTATTTATGATCATTTTTTAAAATAATTATATGTTTTTTTTTAATACAACATAATGCAAATACAGTACAGTAGTCCCTCGCTACTTCGTGGTTTTTCACTTATCGCGGGTCTTCAGGGTACGGATCCTCTGCGATAAACAAGAGACTACTGTATAGCAAATACTGAAGTCGGCTTTGTTTTATTGTGGGTCTTACATATACTGTCGCTCTTCAACATGAAACATATTTTTGCTTTCCATGTTCTGCTCCAACAAGGTGCGGTTTTGTAACATCAGTGTCTCAATCTGGGCGAGCAGGTGACGATTTTCTTCCTCCAGGTTTCCTTTCAACTGACCCAGCAACTAAGAATCACATGGAAAGGTAGGCATAAACATAAATATAAAAACATAAAGTTGTATGGAAATCTTTATATTCGGCTAAAAGAGCCACCAGAAAGTAAACCAACGTTAGTTTTATCAGTATTGTAACATTATTTAAGAGCTTGGGAGCATTCTGCATGACCTCACCTCACACTGGTTGCTGAGTTTTGTGGAGGTGATGTCCAGCTCCTGAAACTCCTTTTTGAGTTTGGAAAAGTCCGCCTCCAGCCAGGTGTGCTCCAGCTTGGACCCATTCAGCTGGCTCTTGAGCTGCTTGTGGTCTTCTGTCAGTGCCTCGTTGTCATTCAGAAGCTGTCGGTACGTCTGGTTAAGCCTTGAAATAAAACACGCAGCAATAACAACATACTAAAACATAATCTGGTTGTATGCTCCAGTGCTTGTGGATGTTTGTGTTTTTCTACCAGTCTTTCTCATCCCGCAGTCTGCCGCATTCAGCTGTTGTTGTCTGATGCTGTTCTTTCTCCAGTACCATCCTCATCTGATCCTCCTTCAGAGTCTTCTCCAGGTCCTCAAGCTTGGTTTGCTGCTGCAATAAATTGTTGTACCTGAAAAGATCCCAACGGACACAGACACCGACATTAGAGACCTAGCATACTGCCTGCCACCAGATCATCTTGTTTTAGGAAATGATGGAACTGATGTGGTCAAAACAAAACAAAACACAATTTCATGCAATATTTCACATGATCTAGTGCAGAGGCCTGAAACCTTTATGATCAAAAGAACCATTTTTACGCCTTCGTTCACTAAATTAAAAGTGTTCAGAGCCACAACAACCTGCTACAACTGTGATTATCAACTGGTGGCCCATGGGCCACTTTAGGTTTGTTGGAGGGGGCTTTTGTGGCCACTAGGGATGACATTATAAAGCAAAAAATAGCTAATGATTTTTAACATTTATTTATATTTTTACAATTGGGGGGGGGTTAGTTTTTTAAATTAATAAAAACTATGAACTATGCAGATCTATGTAATTTTTCGAATTGTGGGGAAAAAAAAAGAAGTATAGAAATAAAGCATAAAATAAAAGTGAGCATGTTTTACTCCTTGTACTATACCCAGTATTTACATATTTGCAAAAGAAATGACAGGAAAACAGTTAAAATTAGTAATTTTATTGTTGTTTATATAACAACCAATAACATTCAGTTTTATGTCAGTTTTGGTCAAAGCTTGAAAGAGCCGCTGCAGAAGAACCAAAGAGCCGCACGTGGCTCCAGAGCTGCAGACCCTGATCTAGTGATGTTTTTGCTAGGAGTATGCTGCGAATGACTTTCAGCTACTTTTTATTTTATTTTATTCTTTTCGGCTGCTCCCTTCTTCAGGGGTTGCCACAGTGAACGAAGTCGCACGAAGACTCGGCGATTATTTTTACGCCGGACGCCCTTCTTGATGCAATCACAGACCACTGAGCTACCACAGCCCTCTGTGTGGAGCAGAGAGCTGCCATAGAGCACCCGTGGGAGCAGATGATGAGGGTTAAGGGTCTTACTCAGGGGCCCAGAGTGGGGCAAATGAAGGTGGAGGCAGGTGTGGGTGCTTCACCTTTTCCACCCACACTTTGATGTTGCTGGTACCGGGAGTTGAACCGGCGATCTTCTGACCACAGGCCTATCTTAGCTAGTACTACTCCTGTAGCTACTACTACACTAAATTTTAGTTCAGTATATGTATAATTCACATAATGGCAAAGCTTTTTACACAGCTCTCAACCAGTCAGTGATCAGAGTACAAGTTGGGGATCAATCTCAGCTACGACCACACCAGATTTGACCTCAGTATTTGTAAAACTGACTGAGATATAGCCAGCGACCATGTGAAATACAGGTGGTAAAAACACACATGAAAAGCTTTTGCATAGGGTTTGACAAAAAATTCAACTGTAAGACTGAACGGATGTATACCTGTACATATTAAAGGATTTAGAAAAAAGTTCCTGTTTCAAAGGCACCTCCCCGTGTCTCGTCCCACCTACCTGTCTTGTAACGTGCGGTGCTCCAGTTCCAGTGTGCGGTGGGCGTTTTTCAGGCAGGCTTGTTTGCCCATCAGGACCTCATACTCCATGGCTTGGCGCTCGTGCAGAACCGTCAGACGCTCGTGATCTCGTAACAGCTGCTCGTGAGCTCTGCGCAGCTCTTCACGAGTCCGCACAGCGCCGTCCCTCTCACTTTCAACCCCGGACTGCTGCTGCTGCAGTTGAGCATTCTGGGCCATGAGGGAGGCGCTCTGCGAGTTCAATGTCGACTTCTCCACCTGGCGAGGACAGCCGGTGAATGAATGTAGCATAAATACAGTAGCTTGAGTGGATTGGGGATTACCACAGACTATTCTAAAACTTGTTGTCTGAAGATTATTGCAGTTTAGTTTAGTAGTGGCACCTGCAGGTTAGCGTTGTGTGTTTGCAGAGCTGTGTTGTTCTCCTGAAGGGAAGCAGCCTGCCTCTGCAGGGCGAGGATTTGAGCCTGCTGACTTGCAGACTGACTTTCTAGCTGTTTCAGTTGACTCTGCGTTGCCTCACGTTCTGCCTCCAGTGTCGCATTCTGCAGAGGAGGAACAAGAGGAAACAGATGAAGCAGGAGTGGGTGAGGACAATTAATTTTCTTCACTCTTTACTACACTTGTTTACTTGTTTTGAACTCGTTAAAGCACCAGCAGGTCCGTTTACTGACCAGCAACAGCTTCATTAATGTAGTCACCCTTTAATAATCAGAACTCTGTCGCTAAATCCATTCATTATAGGAAATTCTATACCATAACAAATGAATTTTCATCCAAATGAGGAGACCGAACACGATCTTACGGTTCTCTCCACTTCAATGAGGCGGTCTTTAATCTGCAGCAGCTCCTTGGTGGCCTCCTGATTCTCCCGCAGCCATTCAGTCATGGACCTGCTGGTCTCTGTTGGAGGGCTGGAGCTCGATGTTGTCCACTCCTCTTCTTCCTGCCGCCTCTGTTGTAAAGCCTCATGGTTCAGCTTCATCTGTGGGATGAAGAGGGTTAGAACACCTGGATCTTGAGAATGTAACAGACCTGAAGGTTAAAACGTTCCCCCGTGACTTACAGTCTTCAGATCGTGACGCAGCTGCTGGTTGAGGCAGGATGATTCCTGCAGACGAGCTTCCAGAGCAGCTATCTTGTCATCTTTAATTTGCAAAGAGGTTTTAAGAGATGACTCCAGCTCTGATTCCAGCATCTTAAACCTGCTGTAAGATGAAACAAGATGATTTGATGTAAAAAAAAACAAAAAAAAACTTGGTCTAATGAGACCAACAGCTCTGAGCAGTAAGCACCTGCTGTCTGGTGTTTCAGGCTGTCTACTCTCCTGGTTAAGGACTTTGGTCTCCTGCTCATGGCTCAGCCTCTCCACTTCAGTGTCACTCTGTTGGGTTTTTAGCTTCTCACTCACCAGCTCCTGAAGATGGACAATATGACACAATTACATTTATTAGGTTCTTGTTCTTACTTGCAACATGGCTAATACGTTAAGCTAGTCAAATGGTTGGTTCAAGACTTTCAGTCAAAAGAAATAACTCTGTCTGTCAGTCTCACGCTCCATTCTTCCCTCACTCATGAACAAAACCTTGAACTCCTCCTCTTGAGGCAGAACCTCACCCTCGACCTGAAGAGGGCAATCCACCCTTTTCCAACTGATGCCCTCAGATTTGGAGGAGCTGATCCACCGTGAATATTGAGCTAATTAATATTTAGAATAACTAAACAAAAATGTTTAACAAACATGACAATTAATGCAAGCATTATTTAGCCATTAAATGTATTTAGAGTACTCTTCTTAACGACGTCCTTGCTTAAGAAAATGCATTTTTTCTGCTTTCTAATAATAAATGTATTTTTTCTGAATTAATTTTAAGGAAATCATCCTAATCAGATGATGAGACAGAATAAACATGTGTCTTTAATTAGTAAATGTGTGGTCCATATGTTAAATGAGCTTGTAAGGCATTTTTGCAACTATGACATTTAGTTTAGTAATTGTAATTTGCTGATAATGCTGTCAAATTTTATTTTTCTACTTTCTATCATATTAAATGCAAATGTAGCAAATGGAAAACTTGTGGTTTTGATTAGAAATGTAAAACAGCGCTCCTTGTAAAGTGAAAAACACAGTGAAGACTAAAACATGTGCATACAAGATAAATACCCTTACAGTGACAAAAATAATGTATTCAGTCTGTCCTCACCTGCCTGAGGGTTGCCAGGGTCTTCTGGTCAATAGCTATTTGTTTGGTCAGTTCTCTGTTGTTGCTCTCGAGGTTTTTGACCCTCCCTGAAGTTTCCCTTAAACCCTCCACCTCCTGCAGTAGGAAACGAAACTCTCTTTCCAAGCTAGCCATGGAAACGTTACGGTTGTCTAAGTTAGCTTCTTGAATTTCTGCCTGAAACAGATGAAGATACACAAGAAGTCATTCAAACAATAAACAGTGTAAGTTTTAATATCCAGCCTTGTGTTAGAAACTGACCAGTGTCCATCATAAAAACAGTTTTCTACCTGCTGCCGGAGCCGTCGATTCTCTTTCTCCAGCTGCCTCTTGTCTCTTTCCAGAGCGCTGGTTTCACGCTCCAGGTTCTGCTTCTCTGTTTCCAGCTGCTCCAAGCGTCTCGCAGAAAGCCGAAGATCTTCTAAGGATGCCTGCAGAGTCTGGTTTTCAGCTTCCAGCTCATGAACTTCTGCCTCCAGACGCTGAACCTTCCGCTCTCAAAAGACAAAGGAGAGTAAAAGAGAGAAAGAAAGAGAGATAGAGACAGACAACCAGATAGATGGATTTTTTGGATAGATAGATGGATGGATGGATGGATAGATGGATAGATAGATAGAGATAGACAGATATAGATAGATAAATATAGAGATAGAAAGATAGAGATAGAAAGATAGAGATAGATAGATAAGATAGATAGATAGATAGATAGATAGATATAGATAGATAGATAGATGATAGAGGAGAGATGGACAGATATAGACAGATACAGATAGATAAATAGATAGAGATAGAAAGATAGACATACATAGACAGATAGATAGATAGATGGAACAAGATGGATAGATAGAGATAGATGATAGATAGATAGAGATAGATGATAGATAGATGATAGATAGAACAAGAAGGATAGATAGAGAAATAGAGAGATAGAACATGATGGATAGATAAATAGACAGACAGACAGATAGATAGATAGTTTATTAATCTGAGATAGTTTATTAATCTGAGATAGTTTATTAATCTGTAACATATGTCTCATTTGACTTTATATGTATTGGTTAATTGATCTACAGGACCTACCGGCGTTGTAAAGGGAAGTTTGTAGCTGCTGATTAGCTGTGTGCAGACCCCTGCATTTAACTTCCAGTCGCTTTGAGAGCTTGATGGAGTAAGAAGAACGTGCAGGCAGATCTGTGAAGATGTCATGACAAGGACTGCTGCTCTTTGAGCTGTAGGAGTGATCATCTGATCCAACAACACAATGTAGTTTGTTGTTAGTATTCTGCAAAACGTCCAAATCTGAAAGATGTTTGTTGAAATGTTCTGGATTATTTGTGAGAAAGATCTCGCTGTGGACTCCCTCCAGGTTTTCTGCAACAGTCTCTTGATGACAGTTTGAGTGTCCATTCTGTGATAGTGCATTGTGGCGGTACACATCAGGAAGGCTTTCTGTAACTGAGCAGGAGGTTTGCATCTTGGAGGAGTCCTCTGTTGAAGAGGTAGAGTTGTTGGTGCTGCACACCTCATAGTGCATGCTGAATTTGGAGTTTGTCCTGAGCTCTTCAATGATCCTCAGCAAACTTTGGTTCTCTTTTTCCAGCTTCAGTATTTGACTTCGTGTTTGCTCACTGACCTCTTCGCTCAGAGTTTGCTGTCCTTTAGAAAAAATATACAACCACTGTTAACTTTTGCTGCAAAGAAGGTGGACACCTCAGATGTAACGATTGCAAGTGGTAAACAATGTCCCCTGTCGTAAATATAATAAATGCTTGTAGTGTTCGAGATGGGTTTTTCAAGTTTTTCTGGAGTGGAACTGAACAGGGAGTGTAAGTAAACATTGTTTTAGGTGCAATATATTCTAGTGGGTAGGTGTGACTCTGTGTATAAGAACAAAGGTAGGTTTGTTTATATATTAATTGTTTTTCATGTCCCAGGCAGCGCAGTGATGGATTCTGGTAAGTGAAGGGAGCAATTTTATCCATGACCAGGTGCAACAACAGAGCCAGAGGGTGGCTAATAGTGGCCTTGGCTACCATAGAATAATTTTCAGGCACCCAGTAATTAGAAGAAACTAAATATGACATACGCTTGTCTGCAGTAGCTCGGTGGTCAGCTGTGGCACCACCAAACTGTTTGATCCACTATGTGACAGTGCTATTTATAAGACTGAGTTTGTTTGTGGCTCCTCAGACTGATGAAGTCTTTTGGATGAAAGACGAAACGTTCATCAGGTCATCTTGAATTTTAAGTGGCAGCCGGAAATTTTTCATGCCTAGATGCAGCTGCACACCAAAATGGAATTTGGCACATTGTTTATTTTTCAAGTGATCCAGCTCACAATGTTAACATGTATACATATAAGCAGCCATGTCTGATTGTGACATGACAACTCAGTTTTCAAAAGGAACCTTTCTTACGCCTACATGTAGACACAAACCAAAATGGAATTCGGTACCTCACTGATTTTTTAAGTTGTCATGTTCACAACATGCACGGACGGACGGACAGAAGGTACCGGTATTTCCAATTATGTATTTTCGTTTTGTGATGGGAACAAAAAGAGTAGATGAGTGTTGAAATATCAGACCCATCTAAATACCGTATCCTCTTACAAAGCACAACCACATGACTCGCTGGTGGCTTGGTTGCAAACCAAGAATTCAGTGAGCTTGAAACTAAAAATATTTACCCATTTTCTCACAATTTGTAATAGCATCTAGTCTCTAACAGCTGCATCCAATGATAAAACACATCTGTTGGCTATACATATGGCTATAGAGTACTACTGTTCTCACCATGGGGGGCTTCGGTGCTCCTGGAGAGCTGCTCCAGCTCCCAGCCCAGGTGTTGGGATTCCTCCATGCTCCTCCTCTGTGCCAAACAAAGAGCCAGATTCTCCTCCTGGAGCTCCTTAATGCACCTTATATCCGATTCCTTATCCTAAAACCAAATCACAAACTAGATGAATTGCATTTCCTGCGAAAATGTAGTGTGAATGCTTATTGCTGAAGAACTTGTTGAAAAACAGCTGAAATTATTTATTAACCTTTATTTAACCGGGCAAATCCCACTGAGATCACAGATTTCTTTTGCAAGGGAGGCCTGGGCCTGAAGGCAACCTAACGTGCAGGGTTTTGGTCTGTGGGAGGAAACTAGAGTACCCGGAGAAAACCCACGCAAGCACGAGAAGAACATGTAAACTTCACACAGAAAGACCCCAGGTCTATACTGGGGATTGAACCCAGGACCTTCTTGCTGTGAGGCAACAGTGCTAACCATTGAGCCATCATGCTGCCTTTTGAAATTAGTTATAAAAAAAGTGCTGAAATGCAGCTGAAATGGAAGAACAAGTCTAACTTAGCAGAAGAAAGTGGAAAGAACACATATTCACTGAATTAGATTTTAAAAATCAGAAATTAGCACAACAATTAGGAAATTAGCTAAAAACAGCTGAATTTAGAAAAAAAAATTGCTGAAAAGTAGCTGAAAAGTAGCTGAAAAGGCCGAAATAAGATTAAACTACCAGAAGGAAGCGGAAGGATGAGCTTAAAATGTTGAATTAGCTGAAAAAGCTAAATTTAGCGCAAAAACAGCTGAATAGTAAATATCAGAAAAAAAGCTGAATGGAGCTGAAATTAGCAGAAAGAAGTTAACTAAACTAAAAGAAAGAAATCACCACAAAAAAACTTGAATTTATCTGAAAACAGCTAAAAAATGCTAAAAAAAGTAGCTGAAAAGGTAAGACTAGCTTAAATTAGCAGAAGAAAGCAGAAAGTTTGCTGTTTGCTGAAAGAAGCAGAAATGAGTACAAAAAAGTGGAAATTATCGGAAAAAAGCTGAACAAAGCAAAAAACTGAAAAGTAAATACTAAAAAAGCTGAAAAAAGCTGAAATTACTAGAAGGAAGTGGTAGACAGCACATTTTGGCTGAATTAGGCTTAAAAATGTTGAAATGAGTGGACATAATGTGGAAAATTGCTGAAAAAGCTAAAATTAGCGTAAAAACAGCTAAATAGTAAATGAAAGCAGAAAAAGCTGAAACTAGATGAAAGGAGCATAACAAGTTGAAATTAGCAAAAAGAAGTTAGAAGAAGCACAAAAATGTTGTAGTTAGCGTTAGCAGAAAGAATCTAAAAGGTGCACAAAAAAGCTGAAAAAAAAACCACAGCTGAAATTAGCTGAAAGTAGCTGAAAACAGTAGAGCAGTAAAAGGTTGTCAACAGATCTAAAGATCTGAAGGATGTAAAATGAACTCAATTCATTTTCTACAAGGAAAAAAGTGGCAGAAAAGGCAAAATATTTCAAAAAGCTAAAGTTGCACCAATACCCAAAGTCATAGCAGAACTGTCCTGAAAGGGCTGAACATTTTGATTTGTTGAAATAGCACAAAAATTGTGGAAAGAGAAAGATGCTGAAGAACGTACGGAAGAAAAATGGATCACAATAGTGAGAATGCTTCATAAACATTCACACAACTAGCATCATAAGTACAGGAAGAAAATACACCTAGCGTAAGAACTACATGCCCATTCAATTAAAATCTTATTTATTAAATCTTTTTAAATACATTGTGTCCTTCTCCTTCAGTTTCATTGGCATTGTGCACTTAGTATCATCCTTTTTTGGGGGAGTGGTGGCGCAGAGGTTAGAGAAGGTGGGCCTGTGATCGGAAGATCGCCGGTTCAAGCCCCGGCACTGACAACATCAAAAATGTGGGTGATGTAGGTGAAGCACCCACACCTGCCCCCACCCTCATTCGCTCCATCCTGGGCCCATGAGCAAGGCCCTTAACCCCCATCTGCTCCCTAAACAGGTCTCTCTTGAAAATGAGTTCTCGAGTCTCAATGAGACTACCTGGATAAATGAAAAAAAAAAAAAGTGTACATGTCTGACCTGCTCCATATCATGAATCCGGGCCTTCAGCAGCAAACTGTGCTTCTCCAGAAGGTGGATTTTATCTGTCCGAGCCCTCCAGCCTTCCAGCTGATCCTCCAACACCTCTTTGGTCTCTTGCAGCACCCTGTTATCCTCCTTTAGCTCCTGACATGCCAGTGAGATTCATACAGTTCATCCCAAACAATAAAAATTACTCTGGAAAATATTTGGCATATTTTATCTGTACATTTTACTTCAGACAATAAAGAACAGTTTTATCAATGTCATTTTCTAGATTGTTCTAGTATGTGCAGTCAAAGTTAAAGCCCTTGGAGTAACTGACAAAATCTCCAACCTCCACTTTGGTTTTGTAGAACTCCATCTTGTGCAGTTGCTCCCTGTAGCGTCCGATTTCACTCTCCAGCTTGTCCGCCCTGATGGCTCGCTCTCTCAGGGCGTCGAGCTCGTCACGATAGGTGCGGGCGGCACGAGCGGCAACAAGCAGCTGGGAGTTCTAGTTCAAGTTTAAAAGGTAACATAAACACACATCAGTATTTTTTTCATTCCCTTCAAGTATCGCAATACACAGGATAATTTGAAACTGCGCTAAGTACTTTTTACAATCACAGAAAATACACAGGTTTTTTTTTTAAGGAAGGACATTCCCACTCTGACTGATTCAGTTTCTCAACTTACTACGGTTTTGCTTCCTGACAGCTTTTGTCAGTCTTGTTTTAAAGTGGAACGCAAGTGATTAACAAAAAACTCCTGAATAAACGTTTTGTGTGCAGTTGTCAGATTGTGTTAGTTTCAGTTTGTTTTTGCATTATTAACCTCAGAGCTGGAAAAAAAAGAAGTTAATTCTCTGGGTCTGCACAAGATGTTACATGTGAGCTCAGTAGTCACCAATGAATTAACTCCTCCACCGTCACTCATGGACCCAACAGTGACAATTAAAGGTCAAAATATTGCAAATATTACATACATAACCTATTTACAGTCTGATCTGACACTTACTTAAATATATCAAAGTGAGATGTGACACATACTTATTTTTAGGCACTAATTACAGTCACTATTTGTATTTAATATAATGTATAAAACGAAGAATGTGGCTCCCTGGTTTAAAAACCCTAAAGAAGAACTGCCTTAAATCAGCATTCTGTCTGATTCATTCAACCTTTATTTATACAGGTTAGTCGTATGCGTTTGACGACGAGGCGGTCCATGAAGCACTAACAGATAGTCCATTGTCCTGATAAGATGATGGTCAGCCGGCACAGTTCTGATAAGCCTCCACAGAAGATAAGGGGTGGGGGATTGCGATAGACAAAGCTTTTCCTTAGTTTACACATTTCCCAGGAGAAATTGATAAGTCGGTCTGTTTTGAGGCCATCTAGGGAGTCAGATTCAGATATAATTGTTGATTTATTCAGGCAGACTATTTTTTCTTGTCTTACTGGTACTTCCAAGGTCCGAAATGGCTAGATTAGGGTGCATTCTACTGGTGTGTGCTTACGAGCTTCTTCTGAAAAAGAAACCCAGTTATAATTTCAGTTTCTTTATCAAGTTTTTGACATGTGGTTTAAAAGATAGATGGTGCATCAACCAAAATTCCCAAGTATTTGTAAGAATCAACAAACTCAATAGGAACACCATGCATGGATGAGATAGGAGGAAGAACTGCTGGCACCAACGTTCTGTTTGAAAACAACTTCTCTTTGGTTTTATCAGCATTTAGCACCAGTTTGAGATTAAATAAGTCTGACTGAATGATGTAGAAGCTGGAAAACCTTGGCAAATGTGTTAGCTCAGCAATAAACAACAGTATTGTTGGCATAGACATAAAAGGATGTGTCAGGAATGGTTTGACCTACATTATTTACATAAATTGTAAAAAGAGCGGGACCTAAAACTGAGCCTTGTGGCACACCATTAATTAGTGACCGTTAGGTAGCTAGATGAAGTACCGTTATGCCGAACACATTGCCTCTGACCTGAGAGATAGTTTGAGAACCAGCCAACAGTGTGATCTGAGAAGCCAATATCTGAGAGCTTGTGGCATAAGATGTCATGATCGCAAGTATCAAAGGTTTTGGACAGGTCTAAATAAAGTCCTTAGCATCCAAAACTTCAACAACTTCATTAAAAACCTTTAGCGAAGCAGTCATTATGCTGATGACCAGCAGTTCAAGGAAAGATCCATAAGGTGATGTGCTAAACTTGACGTAGAGACGCAGATCGATTCTGCGCTGGTCGGTCGTTACTGTCAGCTCGTACGCTGCTGTAACGACACATGCTGACCTTTCAACAGTCAGCTGATGCTCGAGCATAAAGCTGAGGTCACAGCAGCAGGCTGATGTTCTCTAATCCACTTGTATTCAAACAACACAATCAAATATTTAGGGCCCGTTTCATTACCTAGCTACACATGATTTATTGACACTGGAGTGCTGTAAACATAAAAAAACGTATTGAAGTGGTTGCTGAACCGATAAGATTCAGACTAATTGATGTGGCAATCTAAGCTGCAAGATTTAAAAATCAATCCTGCTATTTAAATCAAAATGTTTAAGGTTTAATTTTGTCTTGGTGAGTGAGCAAGGATTGCATTTGTCATTAGTAATTGAAGCAAAAAATATTTGTATTAGCAGTCTGGGTAAGAAGTTAGAACGTAACCTTTTTGCTAAACATTGTGATTTAGTTTATTTCCGACTTTGTACCTCCTGCTGAATCCTCTTCAGTTCCGTCTCCATGTTCTCCAGCTCATGTCTGCAGTCGAGCATCTGTTCACTCTTCTCCTCTCTGGGGTTGAATGAACAGCGCAGCGATATAATCAGAAGTTGGTGTCAAAGATAATGTCAAAAGGAAAAGGCTGTTAGTGCTGGTGCCACAAATATTAAAGGCAAAGATACATATATGATGTAAAACTTCCACCATACAGCTCACTGAAAACTATTTTATCCTCTTTTCCATATACTGCTGTGTTACTGATATTTTAAATACCGTGCATAAAAGCGTAGAAGAGCAGGTTATATAAAGTCCAGAGTTCAGCTCTGCCTGATGTTTCAGTGTAAAATTATTTGCTTAGAGGCAACTGTTTGTGAATCTGGATGCTTTATTCTTCCAACAAGAGAGGATAAAACACCAGAGAAGCAGTGGAACCGAGACCTGACTGGATCAGAGTTAATGCGTGTGTGGGTCTATGTGTGTGATGAAATGCAAAGCAAATGTGGGTCAGTGGTAGAGCACAGCAGCGAAACCTGCCAAGCAGGCAACAATGTGGGCCAAACTCTGCAGGGCATCTCTTATCCTGGATCATCTCTCTCGCTGCCTCTCATTCACTCTCTACTGGCAGCTCCAGAGAGGAAGAGTCCACACGATTTAACTTCTTATTACAATATCCATAAAGTGAAAAAAAAAAATCAAAAAAGTGATTGTTTTGTGAAAAGATAAAATCAAAGAGAAAAATCACGTGTCTGTTTACTTGATATCTGGTATGAGATATGACAGATATTAGAGTTAGGGATGCACAATATTGGATTTTTAGCTGATATTCGATATGCCAATATGTTAAAACTTATTTGTCCAATAACCGATACCAAATACCGATATTTCCCCCCCTAGACCTACTTACAGAGACTACATAGCTTTCTCTGCTGTAAAATTAAATTACTACATTATTCTGCATGATCTTTGTCAGTTTGGCCTGCTACCAAAATGCAAATGCCAAAAAAAGGGACTGAAAATGATGCTTGGATTATGTTTAATGCCAAATTTATTCATGGTATTTACTCTGTCTAACACAATGACAACACTTGAACAGTGCAAATTTGTAAATTTTCACAAGTCTAAACTCAACCTGTTCACAAGCGACAAGTGAAAAGCGTATAAGTAGTACTGCATTAATAGATATACTTGACAGTTTCTTAAATTAAAAATTAACTTAAAACAGAAGCCTTTTATATCAGTGAGTTATTTTGATGTAATGGCCGATGTCCGATATTTCCCTTTATTGCTAATATCGGCCAATATCGATACCATGCCAATAATATTGTGCATCCCTAATTAGAGTATTTACTTTATGATTTCAAAAAACTTTTCCTTTGATACGGCCAAAAGTTGCAGATGCTCAGATAAAGTACATTTGAGAAAAAAAAAAAAACTGCTTACTTCATCCATCTTCATGCTGCATCATGTTTTATTTGTATTTTGAAGAGATGTAAAGTCTTCTAACAAATAAAACTGAATGGGATGCAGATCAATACTGAGCGCCTATGAAAAAAATAGCTGCATACATTTATGTCACTAAAGTAACGCTAAAAAGTTCCAGTAAAATGCCATCACATGGGACGGCAACGTATACAGTTCTTATAGTAAAACTCTTAAACTTTATTTATTAATAGAAACTTTTATTTTATTATTACTAACTTTTATATTATTATTACTATAAACTTTTCTTTTTTTTATATTACTTTATTTATTACTGTTTTTCTTTTACGTTTTATTGTGGGATGTAACTGGGACCCTGAGTACACGATCTCGTTCCACCACATGTACCACATGTGGTGCGAATGACAAGAAAGAAACTCTGACTTTATGTTTGCTATGACATCATCATTTACAAAGTTAAAATATTCTGAGAATAGAAATATAACCAAGTGTGTTAAAGTCTTAGGTATTCTAATGTATTTTTGTTTCTTAGTGGATTTTTTATTAGATTAAAATTTTATGTTATAGTAGTATTTTTGTGTGATTTTTTTTGTTGCATTTTATTAGTTTTATAGTAATTTTCCATTTATTTTCATTTATAAGTATGATGTTTTGATGTCTAATGCAGAATGATTAAACTTTTGTTGTCATGGGAATTTTCTGTGCAAACTTACTACAGAACATATTTATTTAAATATCAAACTATTCAGTTCCATTAAATATACACAGCATATCTTGAATCTGAAGCTTATTCCTGAAAATTAAATATTTCATCCTAAATTTTGAATTCTTACAGTTCTTGTCTGAGTCGTCTGATCTTTGCCTTGGAGTCCGCCAGCTCTACCCCCAGGTGTTGCTGGGTCCCTGCCTGCTGCTGTTGCATGCTGGGAGAAAAGCTGTCGGCCTGTAGGGTGGAGGGGCTACCGAGCAAGGCTCCTTCTTTCTCCTGCATTAGATCTGCTATGGTCTGCAGAGAAGAATGAATGGTAATGCAACAGGTTGTGAGAAACAGAGAAAAACTCATATATGAAGATGCTGATAAACACTTTTCATATTTATTGATATTCCTTTGCAACTATAACACAGGAAGGAACGTGTTGTAATAATAAGATAAAACTAAACCTCCAGATGTGCGTCTCTCTGGTCCAGAAGCTGTCTGACGAGTGTGGACATGTTCCTCAAAACCGTCCCCACCTCGTCTGGGTGCATTTCATCAGACTCCAACCACTGCAGCTCCAACACGTTCTCCTGACTGTGGGTCAGCTTTAAAACATCAGGGAGAACAATTAGGTAGCTCTGTGGAGAATGAGAGATCCTCGACAAACACAACGATACAACAACACTAAGTGCTGTGGAATGTGAATGTGATACCTCCTGGATATGAGCAGCTATTGCAGCTTTTGTTTCAAAGTCAAGTGTCTGAATCCTCTCAATGTACTCTTCTTTCTTATCACACTGCAAACAGGACAAAACCAGCAGAGCATTTACAAAGGTATTTAGCACAAAGCATGCAGTATTAATTATATTAATTATAATGAATATATTAGCGCTACCTGGACTGCACATCCCAGCAGCAACAGCAAAAGTTTCTTCATTTCATCCAGGCTTTGTTCTACACAAAAAGCAGAAAACTTTAGTTAACTGAGGTGGATCTTTAGAATGGAGGGTGGAGGATCTCTGTCATGAAGTCAGACTGAACAAAGGTATAGTTGATCATTTTAAGGCAAATCTGCAAAGCCCTACCATCACAAGCCAGTGTAGATCTGAGTCTGATATCAGTTTCAGAAAGATAAAACATGCACACTGGGAACGTTTTAAGGTTATGTGCCAAAACAAAAAGCCTTTTGTTAAGAAAATGCTACTAGAGTGACTAAATCCAGCAAGAACTATGTTCACATTTCAGTTTTTCTTTTTCTAAATGTGTGAATGTTGATAGAACATCCACACTATTGTTTTCCTGTTTTTGTTTGCATTACCTGAACTATGAAATTGTATACTTTTCAAAATATTCATTATATTTACAAGTATTTTCCCTTTTGAAAAATAGAAACTTCTTCAGTTCCTTCAAAATCGTTGTTCTATTTTAAATCTTTAGCACACTTGCTCTATTTTGTCTTGTACTACTTTTAGCATTTAGATATCCGTATGCTACTTTTAGCCAATATTTTGCTACTTTTAGTTTTTAGCTAACCTTTTGCTGCTTTTATCTAGCATTTTGTTACTTTTAGTTACTAGCTAGCCTTTTGCTACTTTTAGCAAATATTTAGCTTTTATATGTATTATTTAGCATTTAAGTATCAAAATGATAACTAGGAACTAAAAGTAGTAAAACAACAAAAAAAGTTTAAAGTAGTAAGAGGCTAAACTGTGACTAAATAATACAGTAATAGCTAAATATTTGCTTAAAATATCTAAATGATAGCTAGAAACTAGCAACAAAACAAACTAAAATTTAAAGTAATAAAAGGCTAAACTATATCTAAATAAAAAAAATTTAACCTCTGCAATTTAGCCTCTTGCTACTTTAAATTTTAGTTTGTTTTTTGCTACTTTTAGTTTCTAGCTATCATTTAGCTATTTTAAGCCAATATTTAGCAATTTGTTGT